GGCTTATTACACTGTGTTACACTTTACACTTTCACAAAATATCCATTGCACATAATAATGGGGACTATTACTACAATAAGGATTACTTTTTATGTCAAAATAGTAGCTTTTACTATTTATTTACACTTGATTGTTGTAAAGCAAACTGACGCCTGCGTTAGCAACGCCCTCTATCTTTTCCAGCGTACGCTTCGGAAACCCATAATAATGAATAATCTTACCAAATTTGTTCAAATTTCTCGCTGTATCTTCGCTTGTATTAGTCACAGGACTACGTTTTATAGCTTATAGCCTTCCTCGATAAATAGTCTAACCAACACAAAATATTTTTCAATTCGAACCCGGAATTCCTGAGATTAGCGCATTCAAACAGACAAATAAACTCTTCAGCTTTATATTTTAGTATAGATTATTTGCGAGCATGACAAATTAATTATAAATTTTACAAAAATTGTATTTTTAACGAAATTTAAACCTTGAAATATCAAACTGAGATAACTATATCACTTCAAGTATTAAATATTGATTTTAGATTGATTATTTTACTTCCGTAGGTGGGATATATTTCTACGAACTCACATACTTCCCAATCATATGCCAATAACAGCAAACCCTCTAAAATAGCAATCAGGCTCTGAGTTCCACTAAGATGCCATGGTATTAGCTATTGCATATGTTGACAGTGAACCTGGTGTAATTTGGATGAGGCGGTCATTCAGGCCGGGAGCCGTGGGCGGCTCTCAACGCACTTGCTCTTGCGCAACGACCTGTGTGCACCTCGGGCACATGTGACAATCACAGCGAACCGTAGACACATTACCATTCTACCGTTAACTCGCGACCTAATGATGTCATACGCACAAAACAATACACAATACGACAAGAATATTTCGTTCATCTTTTCAAACTTTGTAACATTGTAACAAATCAATCAATTTAAACGGGTCTTAGAAATAATTTATTAGACTATCTGCAACTGCCACGTTCGTTCATTGGTTAGTGTACTCTAAGCCAAGTAACCTGTACTTGGTTTAGTTTGGAAGCTTGTATAATATAGAGTTTATTGACGCTGATAGATTCCAATCAGACAATTTTAACGGTTTGAAACGCGTAATGTACGTATTAGTTAAACTTGTTTACAAAGTATTTTTACTACGGCCCGACGTTTCCACGTCAGCCATGGTTACAAAAAAACCTATCTTATACGAAACGTCGGGTCGTACGGCGTACCCAGTTAAAATAATTTGTAAATAAGTATTTGTATTTTGTTGTGTTTGTAATAACTAAGAAATCCGCGTTTTAATTTTATTTAAATGCGTATTATTCGCGTGAGCTACAGACAGTGTTGTGATAAGTATATAAGGAATTCATTTGTTTTTATTCTGTTATTATAAATGCGCAATGTTTTATTAGCTGTGCTGGTAACAGAACAAGTATATACAATACAATCCTGAACTGCTATCTACATACTCGGTTTTAATAACAATGTATCGATTATCGTTATCTTCGTGACATTTAACCATTTGCAAGACTGCAGCGCCGTAAAATTACAGGCTACAAAAATGACTAAATGTATTTTCACGAATGTGAAATATGTATATTAATGTAGATAAACATATTTGAATATAAAAATTACTAATGTTTGTATAAAACACTGTAACTGTTTAAATCGCCATATATTTTAGTTAAACTTGTTTGAAATTTATTTTTAACGACGGCCCGACGTTGTGATGCATTGCAGCAGCCGTGACCACGTATACCAAGTTGAATAAAATATATCGCGTTTTAAACTGTTAAAGTGTTTAATTTAAATGCGTACGACTCGCGTAAACTACAGACAGTATTTGACTAATGTTTGTATTATTTACGTTTCTTGAATTGTTGAAAAATACTATTCAAATATTCGAGTTTTACGAACAATATATCAAAACTGTAGTTCTCTGTTCATTATTCATTTAAACTTATGAACAATTGAAGTCAAAACTCAAGAGGTAATGAATAAACAAAAACGACGTAGCAAACAATGTGGCGAAAATATGTCATTACAAAGGTAATTTACAAAGAAAATTGTAATATTTTATTATTCAAATGTATATTTCATGCGCTTTGGATTTTTCCTTTATCATTATTTCCTCTATTCAAATAGTTGGTCGTTTCAACCAATGCCCATATAACTGGGCACAGGTTGTTCTTCTATATAATGAATTTAAGAATTTAGACCCACCATAGTATTAAAAAAAAATACAATAAAAATAATAAAAAAAACTTGTGCTCAGCAAGGCTTGCTAAGCTCTGATTTTCAGTATGTCCTTTATGATATAACAAGTAGTACCAAAATTTTAAACATTGTGGAGAACATGAGAAAACAACAAACAATTATAAATATGACTTATTTTAGTGGCAGCGCCTAGTGCCTAAGTAAAAGAAAGGTAGAATGTATACCGATAACTGAATGTAATCTTCGACGCTGAGAGTGAAGACATAACATGTTCCCAAAGTAGATACGACACAAAATTATAACACCAATATATATCTATACTAATATTATAAAGCTGAAGAGTTTGTTTTTCATATCATTGTCTTACGGGCTGTTCGAAAGACAATGTATACGATGGCCGTGAAAATTTATGAATTTGTTTTCGTTTGAACGCCTTAATCTTAGGAACTACTGGTTCGAATTGAAAAAATATTTTTGTGTTGGTTGGAGCATTTTTTGAGGACTGCTATAAAATATCAGGCTGCAGCCAAAAGGAGATACACGGATATACGGAACAGTGGAAAATATGGAACAGGCAGGGAAAATGATACATCTTTAAGAATTGTCGTTCGGTTCCGTTCAAGATACCCAAAAAATATATACGACAGAATGATTTCTCTTTAAATGATCTAAAATAATGTCCGCAATACTATATTTTAATCTTGGCGTCGTGGGTAACAGCTATAATTAATAAATACAATGAGCTTAGGTTTGCAAAAACTAATTTTGATCCCCAAAATATAATATATACATATATGTATGTATAAGTTGAACTAGACCGTAATCTGTCCTTGTGCCTTTGGCGAAGAATATTATGGGTTATTATTGTACACAGTAGTGTATGATTTTAGCGAGAATGATGATCACTATAACGAGCGTCGTGTATTTACCTCACGATAACATCTAACTACTTTACCTTTGATTGGTCTACGTCATCTCTGTCATGTAATCATGCAACACCGCTCTTCATTATTATCCCATCATAGAATATAGCCGACGTTTAAAATGCAACACTCGACTGCGTAATATGAAGCAAAATTTATACGAAGCTAGGAATTGTAGGACAATCATATTCAATATGAAAACACATCCCAATCGGGTGACCACCTATTTTGTCTCTAGATATTTGGAAATTCACAGACGAACCGAAACGCGATTAAACTTCAAGGCTCTATGTGACTCGTGACGCGGACGAATTTTCGATAATGCTACCGGCCAATTAATATCCAGATTTCAAGACCACATGGTTTTATAAAAATTGTAACAAAGGCCCGTTGCTTCAATTCCCATAACATTGAAGAAAGGACCCCTATTTCATTAGAAATAATCACTGTAACGGCTTTAGTTTTTAATACAAATGAAATCGTAAGTGTTAAAAGTATGTAGAGTGAGTAACTCAAATAGAACCACACAAAATTACCTAGTACAAGCTTTAGGGGAGTTCTAGAAACACGTTTATAGTTTTGTACTATACCAAGGCTCTATGCCTCTATAATGAAAGGAATGATTTAATTCACCTTTTTCGTAAATGCTTGATGTAAAAGCCAAAGGTGGCACCGATAGATATAATATTCGTAAGAAGAATTAAATTTAACGCATACGCTTGTCTATTTCTTTCCTGTATAATGTTGATTTTTCAAAATGTTTCGCTAAGTCTGTATGAGTTTAAATCAACTTTTCCAATTTACAACGGATCTAAAAGATAAGATCGGCCGTAAAATGTTGTCAAGTTGCAGTAGTTAAGAGATAACTGAATATAATGCGGGTTTAAACTTAATACAGACAACAACTTTTTATTGAAGTTTGTGTTCAAATAAATTCTAATAGTTTCACAAAATTAAACGCGTTTCAGAGCGGAGCGTGTTGTTAAGTACGTATACTGGATTATTCGTTTTTTTTAATGATAGAGAAAAATCATTTTCAAATGAGGGATCCATCCTAAAACATCAAAACATGATGCGTTCTCGACCTATTTTGGCTTTGGATATTCGGAAATCCACATACTAAAACCAAAACGCGATCAAGCTTCACGGCTTTTCCATCTGTGGACGATGGTTCGTGATCCGGACGGAGTTTCTATATCCCTACCACCCATTAAATATTTTCCTTCATAGTTGCTATCGTGTGCTTTCATTTAATAGGTACAATCGACCAATTATACTTCATTGCCTTCATTAAAGCGGTTACATTCGTGGGAAATTGCAGATATCCTTTCGCGGTACACGTTTGTGGAGTTTAAAATGTTGAGTTGACCCCATAAGAACCCTATCAAAGAAGAATTTTTTTATTCAACGAAATTGAAAATGATTTAAACATAAAACAAATAAAAAAAGGGGGAAATGTGTTCTTGTATAATTCGTTTGTATACTGTCTGTAATTTACGCGAGTAGTACACATTCAAATAAAACACTTTAACGGTTTAAAACGCCATATCTATAAGTTTAATTTTTTTTTTTTTATATTCCGGATACAGCAGCCATGGTCACGGGGAGACTACGTTTCGTTACGAGGCTAGAGTACGTATATTTATTATTTATAGAAAATAAATTTTAATTAAAAGCGACAATAATTACGTAAGTATTTAAAAGTGAAGGGTTTTTTCTGAATTTATTCGTTTTTAATAAAGGAAAGAATCAATCTTTTAAAATTAAATTCTCAGAATAATTTAATAGTGTAGGTTTGTTGCTTGTACTGGAGAGTTTATCATATTTATTTGTTTATGACAATTATACGAAAAAAATACCTGCAGTATAAGATGCAATGGTCCACTCACTCTGCACACGGGTGGTGGTCTGTATCCCCAGAAGCAATTCCAGGGCATGTTCTCGCATATTTATAAGACGTCTCTAACGTAAATTCACTGATTATCATGCATCTTCGGTACCAGAGACCACAATACGACCAACCTACGCCGTGGACGCCCTGTAACTGGGGCTGAGGTACTAAGTTTATTTCTATTGTATATCTATACAACACAGCTGATCAGGTTGAGGCAAACAAAGTTCTTCTTTATAGATACAAAGATTCATTGATGGAGCTGTCTTGTTATTTATAGTAAAGCTTATTTCAGTAAGTTATATTATACTGAAATAAGTTTAAAGTACGATTCGTAATACATGCGTGTGCCATATGCTTATTTCTTCTTCTTCTTAATTTTATGATAAAGATTATTTATAAGAACAAATAAGTGACATTAAAATCTAATGCATAATTACTCTGTCAATCTTAACGTGAGTGGTATCAAAAAAATATCTAAGTGAGACATTAATAAATTTTAAATATAACACAGACAGTGTAAACTTTCAAAACCAACGCGTAAGAATTAAATGTGCTTGGTACGTAAATGTTCGCGCGGTCGGGCGACAGTTTCGTAAATTTTGGGGCAAACAAAATTAATTAAATAAATCAATGTCTTAAAATGACAAACTTTTCCTAACGGTACGTATGAGTCACATAATAACTTATTAATATGTAAAAAGTGTAACTAACAGCAAGGTTTTATGGACTCTACTTAACATTTCGATCCATTAAACCGTAGATTATAACAGCATTAAACGGCCGAAAGTACTAATGTACTACAGACTATATTATCTCCTATATATATAGACAATATTATCATTTTAATTGTCCCTTTATAATGCGAAAGGCGCCCATCCCCGGGGTTATATTGACTGTGATAATATTATGATCTAGTCAACCACTTATGTAAAAAGGTATCATTCTCAATATATAGATACTAATTGTAGAGTTTATTTTCAAGAACATTTAGCAAAAAACATACAATTATATTGTATAAAAAATTATATATTATACAAATAAAGAAATTATAATTATTTAAATTTGAATAATACACTTTTAACGGTTTAAAACGCGAAATATATTAATTAACTTATTTTCAATTTTATTTAAACACGGCCCGATGTTTCGGACACTGGAGTTTGTAACGGTTAAAAATGCTTTATTTTAATGTGTATACTACTCGCATAAACTGTATTTCAAAAACTTGTGATTCTTGATGTTTTTTAGATATATAACTACGTCTTAAACAAACCTGGGAAACTGCCTCCAGAGGTGGACTGATGTCAACATTACGTTGATCCCGAGACCAGGGACAACTCCAGGGCATCTTCGTATGTAGCACTGTTTATTTTATATAGTGAAGGGGGGGGGCATCGGTGGTTGTAATTATTATCCAGACGATTTGAAGTTGCGCGGAATTTTATCGAGGTAGGTAGAGGGGATGAGGCCGTACGGTATCGGCACGCGTGCGTACGTCAAGGCATTCGAGTGGGAACTACGTTCAACGTTTGGGATTTGGGAATACTGATGAGAAGCGCGCCGGCCCGGGCAATAGGGCTGGTTTTACGCACATCCCTGCACTCGTACAACGCGGTAACCAGCTGTCTTTTATTTTTTACTCAAACAACGTATGTACTGTTGCTTTATAACAATTCAAATATAGTGTAAGTATTAGATATATTTTTTTTAAATTACGGATAGTTAAATTTTATAGAGTGGTTTTAATAAATTGTGTCACCTTATTCATTTTATTATTATGACTTTAGTTACAATGTATTATGTTGAACTTTTTTATATTTTGTATGCCTACTTCTTTCTACTCTAGAATAAGGCAAACACTAGGATAATCAATATATAAGTTACTATTTAAAATAACAATATGAAAAATCAAATCAATGAATAAAATGGTACGAGTGTGATTCTTGTAGTCGTTTTATTTAACCTATTAAAAAGATTTAAAAAATTAAATATAGTAAATATAATTAAAAAAAAAAATTCAATAACAACAATTTTTAAATACTGTCTATAGTTTACGCGAATGGTACACATTTAAATAAAACACTTCAACGGTTTAAAACGTTAAAAATTAGTTAAACTATTTGAAAATGATTTTTAACTTCGGCCCGACGTTTCGGATGCTTTGCAGCACCCGTGACCGTTAAAAATCATTTTCAAATAAGTTTAACTAATATATCGCGTTTTAAACCGTTAAAGTGTTTTATTTGAACAAAATTTTTTACGCCTGCTAAAATATTTAAGTAAATCTTCTAGATATCGAAGGAGCTCGTTTATTTTCTTTACGTCGCCCTATAATTAAACATTTTCGATCCGTATATCATAATATCTCGGCAACTAAATAATTTTATTTTTCATTTACTACTAGTTAGAGGGTAGAGAGATTGAGATTTGAGAGGGGTAGTTGGCATTTTCATGTAGCGAACGAACAGCGCAAAAAACACAAGTGCCCATTCAGTATCGTTACTAGTACTTAGTACTTTCTTGCTATAAATTAATATTTTACTTCACCACAGTAGTTAAAGTGCTTTAAATATAGAGGATAGAGTACAATTAAGCATACTTACTTACCCCCTTAGACAGTTCTGAGGCATCTCTTCGGAACCACCTGAACCATTTTAAAACAGTTACATTTGTTCTCTTTATAACACTCCTAATCCATAAAATAAAACAGGAAGTAGATATTATTCCAAATATCCAACAAACACTCATTATTTTTACACAATTTAGTGGTAACTATTGCATTTCATGGAAGTTTCTGTATGAAGGGAGTTCGGAAGCAATGTTAATGTTAGCAAATTCGGATACTACTAAATGTATGCAATGAAATGACCTCAGTTCAATTATGACGCTTTTGTTTTAATTACCAGGTTTAAAAAAACCTATTGATTTGCGTGTTGGTGTAATATTATTCGTTAACTGTTGGGTCTTGGTCTATATTTTTGGACCAATAACCAAGCATATCAGCCAATATACAAGGTGTATGTTGAAATCAACATACACGGCACTATTGTCATAATATTTGATGTTTGGTTCTCGACATTTTGCCATCACGAGCGGACGGCATCTCACGTCGGCCGAACAGCCCGAAAAACAATGATATGCTGAACGATGGCTGTGAAAGCCTTGCACAGTTTATTTTTGATAGTTATAAAAAAACAGCCAAGCTGGAGTCCGATTCTTGCAAGAAAGGTCTGTAATAAATCATTTCTTTTATGAGACCCTTTAAGGTCGAGGTCTTTAGTCATAGGCAATCATTTCCTATAAATTGAAACCACTTTTGTTAAGATATTAATTAATATATTTTCGAATCTAAAATGTACAAAAAATACAACTTAAATGTAATGTACTTAAAACGCCTGTGATACTCAGTGAATAAAATTATGTTTTTCGATTCAAGTGAATACGAACATTTTATGGATAGTGTCGGCTTCAGTAATTGACAATTACCATCGTAAATACATCGGAACGAGCTACTAGGAACAAAAAATGTGGAACTACATGTATCTGATGATTGCAAAAAAGTTAATTTGAACAAATTAAGTTTAAATTCGTTTAAGTTAATATCAAGGTGGCTGTAGAGATACACGAGAAATATGACCCAAACATACATTCAGCTAAGATTTTGTAATACGTTAAAATATAAACATAACGACCTATATCAATTTTATTATTTAATCAACCATCACTTCAATAACAACTTTGGTTGTGTAATCTAGACGTAAAAATAAATGTACTTTAGCTATATACAATTTATAAACATACATACAACGCTCGAAAAGCACAGCAACACAAAGGAGCTCTTAACTAACATCTGAAGAACTAAATAACACAGACGTAACCGCCATCCGCAGAAAAGATTACTGCGTACGAAATCGACTAGTTATATCCGACACTAAGTCTAGTTTTAGTCTGTTCAAGACTGGGTATTACATTATATGTTAAAGCTGACAAATATAACCCACCCGTAGATCTGTGTTTGACACAAATATTTTATATTAAAATAAAGCACGTAGGGGCAATAATCCTTTCCGCTGCTGGCCTATAATATCGCTCAAACACTTCGAAAAACATAATTAGCCTTCGGTACAGTTTCGACTACGACTGATAGTTACATCTAAATGAATATACACAATACAATAGAATACCCCTGTTAACAGACGACAGGCCAAGACCCGAGGTATGATTTTATACAAAAAATAAAATCAACACTGTACGGGATAACGTGTACCTCATCGTGTTAGCGACTGTCATCTTACTATAAATATTTATCACACGTCTTCTACAGAGGAATCACATAAAACTCGATTTCATTCATTATAACGGATGCATGAGAATGTCATTACGATAGTTACACTAATTATGTTTTCCTTATGAAACAAAGACTCCCGTACCTATCAATGTTTCTTCACTACAACATAGTGGTAGTCAACACTATCTCTAGTCCCACTGCACAGAGTAACGTTTCGTTTAAATTAATCACAATTATCACATTAAAACAGTCCAATTATTTCTGTTGTAGCATGGATGGATAATTTGGACCCTATTTGATTCCATTTTTATGTTATTACTCTGAGGAACGGGACTTCAATATTACATATAAACCTTAATGCAAAAATAATTATGATTCCCATTAATCGCTTACATAAAATTCCGATTATATAACATTTCGAAATACATAGACAAATCTTTTGAATTTTCAATATAATTATTTTAAATCTATGACGTTTATAATAATCGACAAATCTCTAAGAATTTTGAAATGACAGTAATTCTTACAGTAACAACGATAGACACATTATGTGGGAATAGCGATATTCATAAATGAATAATATTGTAAAACGGGAGATCTCTTACGCGGGCATACAAACGGAAGATTTACATATGCGCACTTTTCTTAGCTAAGCTTTTCGTTTTGTCGGAGTAGCTCGTACAATTATATTTAGTCCTCTTAGGGATAACTGTTTTAATGAGGTATAAAATGATTACACAAAGATAACTATTATTTATCTTCTAATCGCGATTGAGTAACATCTCTTATTATAAAGGCCAATTTAACAATTACTTTCTCACAGTATACCAAAATATTATTATTTATATAGGAATTATCTATTCGTTGATCTTTTAAACCAATCTCAAGTATCCTATTCGTTCTACCGTTCAAGTTACTTAATATTAACGTCAGTTAACGAGTGACACCAACGCCACTTATGGGGCTTTTAATACACGTCTTAAGAAACGATGCGTATTTGGGCTTATTCGTGGATTTATATCCCTAATTGTTGAGAAAAGACTCGATGTTATGTTTGAGACAATCGTATATAAATTTACATTACGATTCGAAATTAACGGGAGCTTGTACATTGAGCGATCTGAATATCAATTACATATTTCATTATAACCGTATATTAAAAATACTGCATTCTCTTTATATGAGGCATAGGCTATTTTATCACCAATGTTGCGGATTCTAATTTTCATTATTGAAGGCCATGTCTTATAATTAGAATTCTAGAATTGCGTATGAAATTAGTTATTCGATTCTTTTTATCAATTTTAAATCTAACAATGTTACTAACACCTTACAGATGATATTAATGTCAATTATGTATACCAATTTTATAATTAAGTGGATTTTGGAAAAATACTTTTATTCACATTTCAGGCACACAGACTGTTATTTTTACCTGCAGACACCATTAGTACCAATGGACGTCAATTTACAGTTTTATTTAGCTATTTCAATATAAACATGTAAAAAATATTTCATTGACCGTTTCATTAGAGGCTGTAACATTAAATACTGGTGGTATTTCTTTATTTTCGATGAGTACATATTGAATCACCAGTAAAATACGCGTAGCAGCTCGTAACCTTAAATGTCAACTATATGGTAGTTCACCTAAAAAGGCCATCGCTTGTACTTTTATAATCGGGCACTAAACTGTGGACAACAGACGGGCACAACTGCCCGTAACGATAAACAAACAAATGGAATGAAATGTAATATTGCTACCATTATCGGATATTATAAAGCTTTATCTCACTATTAAAATGCTAGTCGTTCAATAAGCCCCAGATGACAAATAAGCTTGGTCAGTAGTCTATTTATCAGAACTATTAGATATACTTTAAAGGTACAAAAATATTTATACTTATTTTTCTTATCCAGCTTACTCCTTTATTTTGGTTTATTGGGTACTCTACATGTTATTTGTACGTTCATCTTTAGGTAGGTAAAATACATCACATATTATTCATACACTATCAACTATGGAGTCTCAGAATATAGCGACTTTTATGTAAGAAGTATGCAATGTAAAGAAGAGATGGTATAACGCTAGACCTAAGTTTAAAAAAAATGTTCTACATGTCCATTATACAATTGAAGAGTAAGAATGGCTAATAATTATTAAATGGAATTTAAAAACGAACTCGAAAAATGTTAGAAACGCCTTCTCTACATTGAACAGCATTTGAAATTTTATAATCTATTTCACGTATCCATGGTCCCACTCGCACTTTACAAAATGAAACAAACGAATTTATCAGAGACCAACCGCATATAGTGTTAAGAGCTAAGTTGTGCGACTCTAATTATAGGGTGATGTGACTATATCTATTTTCAGTTACGCTCTTTCTCACACATTACATTAATTACTTTCGCGGCCTATATTAAGTAGTTATCGTAAAAGAGGCTTCTTCCTACTTAGATTTAATTTCGCGAATCAACGGTAACAAACTTAGGTTTTTTATTGTTAATAAAATGCTTTCAAATTTTAACACACCTATGCACATGTAACCTTACACTGCCTGTGTCATCCACGTTTCAATCTATCGAAAATACACTTGCCACATGTAACAAACCGCTTTCGTATATTTAATTTCGAAACTGATATATATAACAATTATATATTCATGTATACAAAAAATCAAATGAGCAAGGAAGGTTGAATTAATCAGGAAGTTCAAAAGTTTTAAGAGGGAAGTCGTTTCATCATTGAGCATCATCAGTGAGGAAGAGCTGTGTCTTTTATGCCGGCTGATGAAAACTTTACTGCCTTTTTGTGCACAAGGAAGATGCGGGAATCTTTCTAGAAATGTACATATGTGGAACGTGAACATCGTGTGATAATAGTTTTTGTCGCATTGTATTTTTTGAGTTTGAGGTAGAAAGAAAAGTCAAATGAACGAGGCTTCGGAGGCCGGCAGTGCTTTCGAGACCAAGAATCTTATTTTTCTATAGATATACACTGTTTGTCTATAGATTTAGTTATATTCTGTCGTGTAAACGTACCGATATCTGAGAACAGCGTGTGATGAACACAATTTTACATATTGGAGAAGTAAAAATTTGGATAATCCTTTTGTCTCTTATTTGATTGCTTATATGTTAAGATTAGTTAACAAACAGTGTGTTATAATGGAACACGTGACATTGTCTACTGAAACTGGATAGCCACGAAGGATAAAAGTCGTTAACACATTAATTATGTGCACAGAGGTCGTATGTTAATCGAACGAGTTGTACTACTAACCAACAAAAACAAAGCGAAACAAATAAAGCAATGAGAATATTTCATCAACTTACAAATAACCTTTGTAAAAATTTAATCATAGAAATAAATGAAAATAATTTTATAAAGTAATATTCTATCATAAGAAACACAAGAATAATTATAACAAATTAATTATTATGTACACTAAAGCAACATCTATAATTTAACAACTCTATTTACACGATAATATCCCTTCAACTCTATTCTTCGTTGAAGCATCATAAATAAAACAAGATGGGTGGAAAGCCTTAGGTAACCCAAGGGGAAAATGTAACTCAATAACCTGAATGTTCGTGCTATTTCGAAACGAGAGAATTTAGAGTTGAGAGGTTAGAACATACAAACCATCGAATACTACAACTTACTTTGTCATAACAGGTAACATCTGACTTTCATATTATAATACATAACGTTTACAACGCCAAAAATATGTGTTTCTATTTGTATTTAATATTGCACGCGGTATATCTGTGTCGCATTCAGTACATATGTGGAAAATATGTTTACGTGATCGTAAAATTCCGTATTTTACTCCTTCACAGGAAGTTACCGTCGTATTACTTATCGAATCTTACTAAACTAAAAACTATACATAGATACAGATATCTAAGAATCAATATCGAAGAGTTCTCATAGAACTTAAGAGGGTGACGGCAGAACGATCAGCGGTCTCCGTCACCAAAGAATATCACTAGCACTGCTACACTAGGTACAAGCGATTCGAGCTCGAGCCGGGCCGATGCATCGCGGCTCGGGAGAATCTAAGCGGCCGTCCGCCAGGGGGCGCGCGATTGTAAATGCAAACAAGGAGTGGTGGGCGGGCGCGTTACTGCGATAGCAGCTTCTGCAGCAACGACGCTTTACTTGAACCCGTGCCCGTCGCCTGCGCCTCATCACCGCCCGCTGGCCCCGGACCCGCCGCCGCCGCCGCTCCCGCCGAGCCCGCCTCCATAATATTCTGGTAAATGAGAAATTAGTCAGGTCAGGTCTGTGTTGCAATCCTTTATACTTCTTGGTCCCTTTAAATAATTCGTGTCAAAAAGATCTCGATTTCGGAAACGTATAATTAGCATAAATCATAAAATAATCCACATTATATGACCCATATTTGATAAACAATTTAACGAACTTCTGAAGGAAATCTGTTGGAATATTTTATTGATGAAAGAGCTTATCGATACGTGTGTTTACGACGGATGGTAGCGTGCCATATTAAAGCAATTTCATCAAATGTATCGAGGGGCCTGGGAAATTTTTAAATTCCCTGGAATGTAATCAAGAAAGTCTTCGCTCGATCCTTTTAAATGCCACAAAGCTTTAAAGAAACATTATATCTATCTTAAGCCTTTATAAATACGAAAGAAAGTATTGACTTTCATAGAATGTTTTTAAAAGGATCGTTTTGATATTGTAAAGAGGTAAGATTCTGACCGCCCATTTCACTCTTCAATTGATCATAAAAACATGCAAGATTTTCTCGTATACTAAAAACTGCACTCGACAAACGAAATAATTCGTATGCTGGATAAATTATTTCAGAAGCCAAACAAAGCATCTATTGGCAAAATTATAATTCTTCTGTTGATTTATACAAGAGTCAAATTCCTTCACCAAACAGCGCATGCGAATTACCCCATTATCCTATTACAAGCAGAAAATTGATATTTAAGACAAAACCTAGAAAGCATATGATTGTAATATATACTTATTATATACCAAGAGTTGTTCTATCATTAAAAGAACTGACAAACTAGAATGAAATGTAATATAGATCACATCACAAAAGCTTAATCAATTATTCAACCTAGAAATGCACCAAACAGGCCGTGGTTCGCGAGGACGACGTTACGCGAACGTCGGTAGGCGTTGGCACATTTCTTAATCAGCCTATGTAAATCAAAATGATCGTTCGACAACACACGCAGCAGAGCAGACTCAATACATAATAATCATAATTATGTATTCTACAAAAATAATGAAAAACCTACGTAGAAAAGGAGTGTTGTGTGAATATAATGATTAAATCTCGCTAGTCGCGTCCCAAGCTTACCGGTGTGCTCTGTTGCGACTTCCACGTGTTTGTGTTTGTCGACGCCGAAGTAGCTCGGCCCCCCACCACACTGCCGCCACCTACATACGTACACAGGGGTACATTGGCAGTGACCAACCCTTCAATTTAGCTTATTTCTCATCAAATCATTATCTCCTTTAGGCGAGATTGAGAAAAGTCAAGTCAAATTTCTTGGGAGGTACGTACTAAATTTGTAATTGCATAATCTTGGAACATGATTTGTGAACTATTATGAAATATATATAAACACTTTGTAAGTATACTTTGCATTATTAAACTTAACTATGAGAATGTTACATATATCATGAAAGATTGTTAAAGCAATTATAAGTATTATGTTTCGAATAGCAAAAAAATGTGCTTGTGTTAGTGACATGATTAACAGAAGGGTAAAATGATCATAACTCTCTAGGCAACTCCGATAAAAATATAATTAATTAACCTTTAATCGACCATTATTAAATTTAAACTTAAAAATTTACATATAGTATACAAATACTTTAACATATTACGCAAGATACGAGGGACTTGGTGTTTAAATTTTGTGTAAAATTCATAGATATTTCTTTCAAGGTGTAAGGACGGACGCAGTACGAAATAAAAATATTCCGGCATGAAATCAACTAAGACTATATATTTGGTATACCGAATATTTCACTATATTTTACCGAACTGATCCTATATTACTTACCTGACCCCATCACCAACACTCATCATCAAATAAATTTCCCAATCGAAATGGCCGTGTAAAACGAGAACGTTTTTAATTTCTTCTATTAGTAGAAAATACACATAAAAGACCATACTAAGTTTGGCCTTTGAAAGTCAACCAATTCAAAATTATCATATCAATCCACGTAAATCTCACAACAATATAAACTTTTGATTAAAATAAATCAATTCATATAGAAAACATGAATATTAGCGGAGTAATGGGCTGGAAAATATTAGTGATATGTGTATGTACAAGGTTAATGAGTTCATTTAAATTAAGATATTTTAAGAGAATTGAACGTAATAAAATATTATAGTATTAATTAGATAAATTAGGCAACATTTCAATTGTCTTAAATTCAAGTATGCAGTATGCACTTTTTAACAGAAAGAGAAACAAATGCATATTCTCGTGAACATTTGACAAAACGATGCCACTTATGTTTATAACGATTACTGTTGCATTAATTTACCTTTGATTATTAATCACAGTAATTGAGCTGCGTCTTAATGTTTAATTACAAAGTAAACAACATTGAAAGTTTTATTTTACCTATAAAGATTATATCGACCTATAAGAATCACCGTACGGATTAGAAGACGACAATTAGAGCCTTTTCTATTAATTGATAATTCGTTTTGTTAGAAATACTAACCGGGTGCGGGCATGTCAAATGTGAGTAGCGGGTCTAGTTCCGGGGCGTGCACAGCGTGCATCTCAGGACGACCCGAACGCGCACCGACCACGGCGCGCAGTTCGTTGCGCACGTACTCCGACGTGCCGCCTGCGCCCGCGTTCACACTGGATCCGCCCCCTGCTGAACCCCCCATATCTGAATTTATTCACTCTTATTAGAAAAAGTTTTACGTTGTGCTCAGACTGAAAATATTTTCGTGTGTGCTCATTTCATGTGAACATGAAACGGTTCAATGTTTTCCAACGGGGCAGTTTTGTACAAGTCTTAATTTCGAAGTGTTTAGTGTTATAGAAATTAGCAATGATTATTATGCACCTGAAATATAAATACAGACTGATCCAGAAAAGTGTTTTCCAGCTTTATAATCAGCAAATGCAATATGTATCAAATATTACGTATTAATATTTAATTATATGTATTAAAATAGAGGTATAGTTATTATAGCGATAGTTCGAGCATAAATAACATGCAGAATTTCATTCAATATCACTACAATACTACTCTTACCTTGACGCCAGCTGATATGGTCTCCAATTATTTCATAATCAATCAAATCTAGCTTTACTAGAATTTATTGTATTACGTAAATAGAAAACAACTGATTGCAGTTTAGATATAATTTAAGAAAAATCTATATGTTTGAGTGTTTAAGGTATTGTGAGGTTTTTTAATGTTAAAACAAGCGTTTCTGAGTGCGTAGTTTCAAAAAATAGAAAATGTTTTTAAATTAAAAACCCATCGAAATATAAACCGGAATTATATTTAAAAAAAGAAACTGTTCGAAAAACAGCCAAAGGGTGTATTTTAGTATTGAGTATAAACTATCAAGACATATACGTTGTTCTTGATAATATGTATAGCAGCAATGAAATGCACCGCCCTGAGAAAAGAGGCAGAATACTCTTAAAATGGTCAAAATAAATATGAAGCGCACCGCGATCCGGCCTATTTCTGAGGTCGGCACATTGTCCAAAGCCGTAGAGCTCGCTGGTTACTCACATGAGAGATGGTCATGAGGCGAGAGGTGGGGCGCGTGTGGCGCGTGCGACGAGTGCGGCGGATGAGGCGGATGGGGCGGATGCGGCGGGTGCGGGGGGTGCGGCGCGTGCGGCGGGTGCTGCGCGTGGCCCGCCCGCCGCACATACTCGCCGCAGTACTCGTTTTCTTCATAGTAACCGCCCACTGCCACACACGCCTATTATAAACCGAACGACGGACGAACCTACCTACTCGGCGGCGTGTCTCCACGTAAAAACGCACTCGCGCTTTCGTTGTGCGTTTCCTGAATCTAAGGCCGCCACGATTTTAAGGAGCTACGCGTGGAATCTGAGAATTTGAAACTGTCTAATTCGCTACCTCTACCCGTCGCATTTACAGTTTTTTGGAAAAAGCCAATATCATGCAATTAGTTAAATACTCTCGACGCCTTATAATGGCCAATGCTAGTCTTCCGAATCTACATGGCATGCTGAAGAATTAGATATTTGCTCGTACGTCATGCTCTCGGTAGTAAAAGTTTAAAATCTATGTCTATATAAAGAAATTAGTATGCGTAAGCGGTCTAGAGAAACCTTGGATCAGACTGATTAAGGGCAGGTTTGTTTTTCAACAAATCATAGAAAGTATAATGCAGCTCCTCAACCCATAATCTGATATTATACAAAGTAATATACACAAAAATACACGCCTTATTAAAATAATGACTTCATATTACATCTTAACTAAATACTTATTTTCAAGACAATGTAAAACGCCAATCTTATACAGATATCAGGTCATGTTACCCATACATTTTGGTACCATATTGAAAAGTATAACACAATTTATCTGTACAAGATTGCTAAAGAAGCGAACCATATGCCGCGTCAGTGCGGTTTCTGGGTACTATTCTCTATTAATGAATCAAGTCTATGTTTTGCCCTTTTTACTGCGGCTTTTTGAAGCACATTTTCATAGACTTGTAATTCATTAATTATAGCGGAGTCTATAGAAAATTTTGTATGTAAAGCAATGAATTAAGATGGTTACCGAGATGCGGGCGCGGCGTACGGTGGTAAGGTTGAGGCGTGACGGGCGTGTGGAGTGCCGCAGGGGACACGCCCGATACGTTCGATACGCCGGACACACTCGGGCCGTACCCTCCTCCACCGCCACCCTGTAAATCACATAATGTTTCTATAATTATATTTCGCCTATTTCCACTGTGAGATAAAATAAAGAAATCGGATTATCTCTTACAATCTTAGTTGAGTAAGGAGCGTGATACACACAATTCAGATATTGTTATTAACTGTTACTTAGTAATAATTATTTGAGTATTCGGAAACTTTGTAGGTGTCTTCTTTGTAGGTCACTTCTTACTATGAAGTAATATGACGTACTAGTTCGGAGAGTTTCTTGTCAGAATACAACGATATACAAAATAATGCAACATTGCTAGCATACCTGCAATGCATTCAGAAAGTAAACTAAATGTTATAATAATATTATAAATACTGATATTTTATTTATTTTTATTTACAAAAAAGCGAAGACATTAATCGGCATATCACAATCAGAAAATTAGACTGTAATCGTTTGAAATATAATACGGCCGACGTAATTTGGCAGCTCTGAACAGAGGTTAGACTAACTTTGGCGCATCGTAAAGAAAACTAATACTGCCATTAATTTTCGTTACTGGGGTAAATGAAAAATTTTACATATAGCAAGCAAAAGTAACATAGCAATAAATAATTCAAAGAGAATAAGGGCTACGAACTTATCTTTCACTAAAATACAGAGACAAAACAAAAATATAACAGAAGAGAAATAATAATATTAAATTTAAGAATAAACAATCACTTTTCTAACGGACTGCGCTCAAGACAGAGATAACGAAATTGACACCAAGGAGTGACCGAGACGCACTACTGTTTACCGAACATTACCGAATATGTACGAAGATTTACGAAAGAACCAAATAGAGATGTCCATACGGGATCCTTGAGAGTGTCGTTTAATCGATTCCTATTGAAATAGATAAAATTGGATCGTAAAAATATAATTTTATAAAAAGCCCTAAAGAAGGTATAAATAGTAATTATATAAATAATAACTCATATTTAACTAAATCAGCTAGTTCAATAATGAAAAAAGTTTTTAATGATTTCATTTTACTTTAAAGGTAATCATGGCATTGTTTATTAACAACACCATTCACTGTGATCATCAATCCATTTAGTACAATATCTCATACGATTTAAAATCCACAATCTAAATCGATACAAATCGATTACAAAATTTTGATGGAATAAGCGGTTGATTGTGTTGACATTGAGTCAATCTCTAGCTAGATCTCGTCTCGCGCCCCTCGCCCTTACTACCGTTAACATCCTAAATAACGTTTCTGCGCAGCGTTTCGCGCTTAGATCAGGTCTGCCACGTTACACCGGCCGTATTGTACTGAACTGTAAACTCAAAAATACATTTCAACAATAATATTGATTTGAATATGAATTGTTCTTATCTTGTGTCAGCAGTGGGGTGAGCGAGGTTAACTAAATACTTTAATTTAATTAGGACTATTTTATAACATAATTTCTACACACTCACATGAAGTTGTCGACTCAACATGGAACTTTGCTGAGACGTTACTATTTTATTTGTACCGTAACTTGAGCCCATTTGACCTGAAATATAAAATTAATAATTTAATATAAATCTTATTAAACGGTCTATATTACTTATCAACGCAGCTCTATAAACTTACTTGTCGGGTGATATATATGATGAAAGTCAGCTCTCGGCAACAAAGTAACATTAGGCGGAGTCGCTGAGACGAGAGCATTAATAGTTGAACCGAGATCTGTTTGAGGCTGCTCAGCGGCCTAAAAGAGAAGCAAACATGGGTTTAAATACTGACTACTACAATATAAAACCTACAGTCGCCAATATAAAAAACAAACAAAAAAAAAACTCCTTTTTTAACCTTATTAAAAGAAATGAAGTTAAAGATTGTATTTGTCTTATCAATTTGTATTTTTTGAGGAGTAAATATGTTTTTAATATAACCTCAGGAGAGACGAGCATTTGCTGCGACTCTTGCATGTGCAGAAGCCGCGCACGGTGCTGCTCGACAAAGGCGCGTGCGCGGGCCGACTGTGCGCTTTCGCCCCGCGACATGCCATACAAAGCTGCACCACTAGTTCCAGAGCCAGCGCCTGCGCCGCTCATTGTGCAAACCCCCTAAACAGAATACACAATTAAACACACATATAGCAAATCACGCTTTAACGAGACAAAAATACTGCTGTATATGGCTACGAATAGTCAGCGAGTTCCATTTAAGTAGGGCAAATCTCTTAATAGATTCTTTTAGAGACGATAAGTGCATATTACTAACGTATTGTTTGTATATGTATATGCGTATGACAAAGTCAGGGCTATGGCACCTTTCTATAATTAAAAAAGGCCATTAAAAAAAAAAATATATATATATATATATATATACTTGTAGCACAATCTATACTCACAAGTTATGATTGTGCTAGAAACTTACGATGTAAACACTGTTTACTCTATCCTTGTAACTACGAAAACAAATGTCCTATTACATAACATGAAATGTACTTACAGGACTTTGCGCTGGATATACAGGTGGTGCAGGACTAGAAGAGACAGGACTCTTGCTAACAGTCTCACACTGCATGAGGCTTTGTGTAATAGCGTTTATTGCTGCCTTCTTCTCATTTACTCCCTATGTATAGACATTGCAAAGATATTACCATCACACTGTATTTGAAATATTATTCAATCAAAACTTTTCTTTTTTTTCTTTTACTTTATATCCCTCAAAAAAGTTTGGAGAAGCTCGAAGAGTATCAAAATAGTCAATCATAGGATTCTATAGTTTTTTATTCTGTTATTGAGTTTAGTCATAACTTTATTTTAAGGGTTCTGTCATATGTAAGATACACACGTTGTACAATAACTTATAAAGATGAACAAACACCTCACCATCAAATCGTTTCTAGTAGCTCGTATGCTATCCAAGTCCATGAGGCTGTGCTCTGAAGCGTTTGCGCGTTCGTTGTTCTCAATAAGCTCATCGAGTATCTCTGACAGAGTCTTATCGCTATGCGCTTCGCTATCTCCGTTATTGCCTCCGCTTTGCACGCGAGTGTTACCACCCCTATCAAAGAGATTAAAATATTTAGAGATACAGTGGTATGATAGTCATTTGCAAGAAGCTCTTCAATTAACCTATTTTAGCGAAAAGATTAATTAATTACTTCAAACCCCTCTATATAATACCTTTTTAAATACCAATAATAATGGTTACTTCGACATTTCATAAATTGTATTTTAAAGTTGACTTAAAGTAGCATGCCTTCACAAAGATTTCATATAATTTCGGATTAAAATTGATATTAAACAATTACATATCATTCTTGCAACGGACTGAGACTATATTAAATTAGCTTATATGTAACAAACTGTCTAAAACATTGTTATCTAATTTATTATGTAATACTGACATGTTGTATATTATGTATGAGTAAGTAATGAAAACACCTGCCTCCATGAGCGTGGAAATCGGCGAGGGTTCCATTTCATTATAAGCGCACAAAGTATTATGACCAATTAAATATGCAAATTATAGAATTTAACCTTGGCACGGAGTCTTATCACATACTGTATTACATTGTTCTGGTTGTTTATGCGTGTTTATTATATAAATGAATAGGTCGCTGGAATCGAATGTTACGATGACATCGATTAACTTTTATTAGTATAGCAGTAACTTCATCTGAGGAAAATACTGTGCTCAACTTCAAAAATCTGACATATTTGGTTGTGTAGTTTAATACTTTATGTAAACATTTAACAAATTAAGTATTGTGAATTCATTACTAAATATATCATCTATACTACCTCGGACAGATATTTGTCCTAACACAGGAAAAAGGAATACCGAAATAATGTCAAGAAAAAAATACATACGGCGGCTGTGTGTTATATACGTGGTGCGGCGCAGGTGTAGCGTAATGAAGGGGTCCGGAGGGATGCGGGTGTGGCGAGGGGGGTGGGTAGGCACCGCGTGCTCCCTGCAAAACCAGCTGCAGGTGGCTCTGCGTACCCCCGGCACCACCGGACACTGCTTCACCTCCACCCAGACCACCGTTTACATTACCACTGCGGTTGCTGAAAGCAGTAAACAACAATTGTATTGATGTATGGCCATATACATAACTGCCTGTCTTGAAAATGAAAACAACATTTTTACTTATATTATTATCTACTAGCAGTGTCAGTGGCTTCATCCGCGAGAATCGTTATTTTGGGCATCCAAATCCGTTTTTGCAAACCCCTTCATCTTTATAAACGTAAACTGTTACCCACGACGTCGGTCGGGTCCCTTCCCGTCGATCTTGCAAGTTAATCTCAAAAGATAGAGAAAGAAATAGCGTCGCGCACTTTTTTAGGTTATCTAAAGAGGAATCCTTCTTGCATGCATATTTTTGGTTATTTTGAACCGTTTTTGTAGCGTACGCCTCGGAAACCATACTGATGAATAATTTTCCCACATTTTTTCACATTTCTCGCTGTATCTTCGACTGCCTTAGTCACAGAGCGTTGTTTTAAATCCTATAGCCTTCCTCGATAAATGCTCTAACCAAAACAAAAGAATCTTTCCAGTCGAACCTGTGGTTCCTGAGATTATCACACTCAAACATATAAACAAATTCTTCAGCTTTATATACACTTTTTTTAAACTTATAACAGTTGAATATAACTAAAACTTACTTAGAAGTGAGCATGTTAGAGAGCGTATGTGGATGTTGCCTGGGCGCATGAGCGGGGTGATGCTGTAAAGGCGGACGGGCCCTCATCGGAGTGTAGGCACGCAATATTGGATTAGGCAGCGGTGTCGGAGGCGTTGTCTGTTGACGCGCCAGCAACGACACCAAAATCTGATTCTTCAGGCATAGCTCGCTCTTGCCGGAGCTGCTGGTGGCCGGGCTTGTTACGTTTGAGGAAGCCGTCGAGGAACATGGAACCGCGGTGGATGTAACCTTTAATTAAACATTTAAAATCGTCAAGTTTGTAAAACAAACACTAAGTATCGAATACAATATGAATATGTTTATATAGGTATGTTACCTGTTGATTTTCAGGCGTAGCACGTTTCGGATTTGATGCATTTGCCTTTGACTCCTCAAATTTCCGTTTGATACCAGCGATTCTCTCAAGGTACAAGTCATTTCCCTCATGCGTGCGACCGTTTCCAGGTCCATTGCTACCCGCCAAAAGTTGTGACAACAACGCACTTGAGCTTCTTCGATTTTCGTCACCATCTTCGTCAGGTTTATCATTCAGTATCTAAAAAGTCACAACACCGTAAGAAAACGTTAATAATTTTTATAAACAAATTCTCTTTTTGCTTTTTTTCCAAGGATACGATGCCGTATACAAGATTTGTACGTAAAGGCTTAATCTTAAACTTTGAAACGGTATATGCGTAAAAATGAAAGTATTTTTGCACATATACTGGCATTGTACAAATGTTAGCAAAATAGAAATTGGTGTCATCTTAAACAAAAATAATATACCTTTAACATCTGATTGTTTTGATGTGATGGCTGAACTGGTTGTGATGTCGGTGGCTGATGCGAGGTATGGTGAGTCGGGTGTCTCGAGTGCGCCTGTGCACTGTGTAGCGGAGACAGCGCCGACGCTGGAGTGTGTGGCGTGTGCGGCGTATGGGGCGTATGAGGAGTGTGCGGAGCGGAAGTTTCACCGCTCTTCGCTTCGTCATCACTTTGATTTAACAAGTCCTTCAGAATAGGATCATTCGTAGTCTTCTTAGAGCTGAGTAATGACCGTAGTCTGTTAGGTTTCTCCGGCACGGCTACGGGGTGCGGCGTAAGTGGAGTGTGAGGCGTGTGCGGCGTGGGTGGCCCTTCACCCGGCGTGGACGGCGCACGCGGAGTAAGTGGCGCGCCTGACTCCTCCGACGCGGAATCTTTGCGTTCTTTTGAGTCGTCGCTCGGCATGTCACCCATTGCGAAAGTCGGAGCCCACGAATCAAGATCGAAATCATTCATTGAAAATTGTCCTTCAGGATCTGGCGCAGGACTAATCGACGGACGGTAGCGAGGATCCGCGGATGAAGACTCTCCATTTACGACGGACGTCATAAGTGGCCCGCCCAGAGCGAGTCTCGGTGGCGCATCTACCAAGTCCACGTCGTCGTCGCCGAGAATCGTATTCGTCGACATTATAAAATCTGGCTCACCGGCGGTGGGAAATAGACGCGACTGCGCACTCACTTTAAAACGAAGTCCTTCACCTCTAATCTGAAGTCCGAACGGATCACTGACCACCAAACCACCGCCACGGCACACGACCTCTTGGAGATCCGTGGAAACGCGTACGCGGTCACTACTGTCGACTAGATCTAGGTAATGAGTACCCGCTAGTGAAATAGGAGAGTTTATACGATTCTCAACTCCGGATAAATCACAAGCTGAAAACAAAAACTTAGCTTGAAATGTCTGTGTACATACTTTCCTTTTAAATAATTAAGTGTTTCAACTAAGTTTCTATACTATTAAGTCATTAGTCTTTGCATTCAATCTCAACTTACTCAAAATGTTGAAATTGCAATCCAATCTGAAGACGATGGTTGATCCGCTGTCATTGGATGTAGCGGCCGACTCGCAGCGCCGAATGACGCACATGACGGAGCCGGCCTCCTCCGTGGATGAGCCGCGTACCGGCGCAGCGTGAATTACACTGTCCACGAACCTTCAAACAACATTTCTTTTAACACCTTTGAAGAGACAAAAGTCACGTAAACAAACTCACAGCCTAAATTACGTCCATTTTGCATCTATGTAATTTAACTAAAATAACGTTGCATTTTATTTTTTCGATAAATATACATAATGTATTTATTTTAAAAACAGTAAAGTAATTAAGTATTAATATACTTCAATGTGGATCTTATCAATTCATTGTCACGACAGATTACATTTATTGGTTACAACATAGCTACGTTCTATGATAAAGCACACACGTACACATACAAAACTATGAATGTAACGCATATTTGACACGTTAGAACGATACATACCTGGTTCCATCAGCTACGCTCGTGTCCTTCACAATGAAGCGGGCTTGAATGTTTTTAAATTTTTCAGATTCGGTAGAACCCCAAGTAAACGTTTGGATACTTCTCAGCAATGGTTCTAGTTTTGCATGATCGTCGACGTGCAGCAGTGAAAAAATTGGTTTCTTATAGAGCTCTGTGCGTTCGATTGAAAGGAGCTCCTTAATATTTTCAGTCACACATTCGATTTCTCCCTTTGAGTTGATTTCCATTAAAATCAACCCTAGCACACTCGTGTAATGCTTGACTGCCTGAAAATATTGTTCATTATTCCATTTAAAAATACAATTACGTTAAACAATTTGCATTCCGATTTCAAAAAATGCAACATAGCTACTGCATTTTTTACGGTTAATATACTACTGTTAATTAATAAATTACAAATCCTAAAGATTAGTATTAAACTAAATATTTTTACCATACCAGAGAATTGATAATTCTAAGCAGTTCTATGATTGAAGAATACTTAAAACTCACCTCGATAAGGGTCCAGATTTCCGTGTACTGGTAACCCGAAGACGACGGCTGCGGCTGTGTAGAGCTCACCTCTCCAGCCTGAACAGGTGACAAGCATTGGTTAGCGCGAAGAGGACAGGCGGTGGGACAATCTCGTCGCCGATTCAGAACGTCCTCGATTTGTCGCGTCGCTTCTCTCACAATACCGTTCTTGTCCGGCTGCTTAACTTCAGCCAAACACGGGCCTAACAGCTCCTCCAACTGATTTATGACTTCGTTTTCCAGCTCTCGACGGCGCTTTTCATTGAAGCACTTGTTTCTGAAAATAATATTTCACCGTGAATATTTCGTGTGTAACAACACGCAAACAAAACCAAGGACTTTGGAGTACCACAGCACAAAGGGCTATATTCGTATCACTTTAATAATACAAGGACCATAAAGAAACAAATTGCTTCAAAATTATAAGGGATATTTAATGTCATACATCATAACATTCTTCTTCTAACTGCCAAAAATGAGAGCATCCTGCTCTCACTCAATTTTGAGTGAGTGATAAAACGTTTCTACTGTAACTTATTTACAGGTTGTAGTTAACATCTTTGTAGACGATTATTTCAGACTTTTACTAAAAATAATTTACTACTAATCAAATTAGTAAAGTTTCCCACACAAATACCTTATTATAAAATGCAAGTATAAATAGCGAATACGCTAATGTAATAGGAAATAGTTTTCTTGAACCCGTTTACAGAAATGTCAGTGTAGAGTTAAGTAAATAAAATGAGTTATGTGTAAACTCAAAAAATACCTGAAAATAAAAATAAAAAGATGCATACAACCCTAAGAGACAAGCCGGTTATAAATAATTTTAAAAATAAAAGTAAGTTGAGTCTGGTATGTTATTTCAAAACGTAACCTTTGGAAAGCAGTGAAAATTTTAAAATATTTCAAGATTCAATCTGTAGATTTCAAATAAATATATATAAAGTTAAAGAATAGCAATCAGTCCAAAAACCTACATAATATCGTCATTTTGTATATTTCCTACAATTTTAAACCCTGTGATGCGGTCCACAATGTATGTTAAATAATATATATTGCAACTAGCTAGTTGCAATATATATTTTATGGTGACGCAGTATACAAAACACTGTACTTATTTCCTTTTCTGGCGCCGCGAGCAATAGCAACGGTACATCGGTGGATATATGTGAAATTAAAAGTGAAAATAGATCGAAGCGTGTCGCAGTAGATCATTATTTATTTATAAATGCAAGATCATGAGAATGTTGCCAATATTAATTGAATTTCTTCAATTTAATTTTTTCATTTGAGACGCACAATATCAATAAAAGGAAAAACCGAAAAGTGAAAGCGATGAACAATCTCAACGAATTCTATATTTTCCAATACGCAAGATACGTACATTTGAGATTGAGGCTGATTGCCAGACTTTTTTCTTATCTTCTTAACCGGCGCTGTCACGCTCATCTTGCCTTGCATCCCCCTCCATGTGTCTCCCAGTTGGAGGTCACAGGACTCAATTCTACAGAAGCAGCAAAGAAAATTATCTATTATTAAAACAGAGTTCTAATAATGACGTGGACATGAACGTTCGATTTGCAGAGATGTGATGATTCTATTGAAAGCGTTTTACATCTTTAAATACTACAAAAAAGTATTTGGCATTGTTTAAACTAAAATAAGAAAAAAGATACTCGTAGTGAATGAACGCACTAAACTTCACACATTTTATGTGCCTATTATTTAAATACACTGCCCCAAATTTATTGACCTCGAACGATTACAATAACTTACTTGCTAATGATACCTATATCGCGAACAAAATTAAGAACAATATAAGGTAATATGCTGAACTAATACCATTTTACATTCAGTTTGATAGATATGAAAGCATGCTCTTTCCAAAAAAGAAAGGATTGACGTCTGGGGTGATACAAGGGAATGTTATTCTATTCAACATAGCTAGCTGCCGGTGTACTGCAGCTGATTTCATAATATAATATCTTGCTAATATCAAATTGCAGATACTAAAGAACCCTGAGTTATAAATGTTGACATTGTGCAAGTGATTGTGTGAGTCATAATTAGAACACAGTACATATTTAGCCGTAATCTTTCTGTTTTTCATTTTAATTTATTACTTATATGGCGTACATTATTATTATTGGATTTTCATATGCAAACAGTAGAAAACATACAATTGTGTATATCAGCTTGGGACCTTAGTGTCTATTTCGAATGCCGAATGTAGAATTGAGTGAGGCACGATGTGAAAGAGGGACAGATATACCAGTTAAACGACGCCTACCGAGGAGCCCCACAACGCAACCTCACTGCGACGGGCGGACGCGCAACCTTGAAATAATAATGTTTGGAATAACAACGTGCCATAAGCGTGACCAGAAATAGGTAGTACTGTGTATAAATAATCTGCAAATTTTAAGTTATCAATCTAAAGGGCTAGCGGTAGGCATTCGTAAACACGATTTGATTACAGTAATATCGATCTTATCATATTTAGCTAAAGTAGGTGTGAATTGCCCACCAGTTCTCGGTTATTTTGCAAAAATCTAGCATTACAAGACTCTTATGTGAGACAAGAATTACCAAATGTCCACTGTAAAAAAATTACCGGCTTCTATCTTTACATTAAAACTGACGCCGAATCAGTGAAAGTTGATAAGTATTGAAGGTGTTACGCCATCAAAGATTTCGCTTTTTCAATTGTTACTCAACAAGGTATTCGTCATGAACCTCACAACCTGCGACGTTGAAATCGTACTTGTCATTGTCGCCATTTCGTTATCATTTTTGATTAGAGCGAAATATATTTAGTACAAGTGATGGATTTATAAATGATACGTTAATCAATCGACATTGAGCACACGACGCGAGTACAAGTTGCTTCCATAGTGTCACGAGTAATAGCATAATTTCGCCAACTTCTTAGTACTCATAAAAAAAATTTTCAGAAATTCCTATTGCGAACATTTGAAATCCATTTTACACGAATACAATAAAATCGTTTTTTTTTTAGATATTGATACGAAGGGCGACATGTGTAACAGAGACTATCTTTAATACTTTTAAAATCTATATATGAATATAATTCGTAAAGTACATATGCTATTGTTATAACCGCCAATAGATGAAATAGGCGTATTATTTGTAATTTAATATTGAAACCGATTTAAGATTTCATTAGGTTGGGTAATGAAAAGTGGACCAACGACGACAAAAACGTGCAACTAAGATCATGGTCAAGGGACGGCAAAGCTCAAAAGATAAGATTTGGGTGGTAACAAATATTTATTTCAAATTATTGACTACTAGGTAAAAACGACCAACATATTTAAATCGTGTGTTAGATACGAAATAATACATTGGTGATAATTGATATTTATGTGAATATAATTGACAAAATTATCTTAAATAATTAAATCAGTTATTTTTTCAATGATAGAAGACGTTGTGGTGACAAGCATGGGAATCAGTTTCACTTAAGAAAAGGTGAACTACCCCAATCATATAGCATCTCAACCAGATGCACTGTCGGCCCATTTTGACTTTGAATATTCGTTATCGAAATATAAATGTCATTTTAATTATATGAAATGTCATACATTTTGGACTTTTCCATTTGAAAAGTTTACAATATAGTTGAGGTTTTCCGAGATCTGACCTACATAGCCACGGTCACAAACAAAATGTTCATGGAACTAAACATGCATTATGAACAAACCAAAGTATTATTTGACTTAAGTAATATTTTATGGAATTTGAATCAAATGACATAGAAAATTATACTCTGTTGACACGCGAAAACTATAAAATTAACAAAAGAGTAGAGTGAGAGAACCATTATAGTTTTAAATCATATAGATTAAAAATATATATCAACACTCCCTTGCCAAGTAGCATAGATATCTAAGTTACTACAGAAAGCTGTACGTAGATACAATAGGGTCCTAAACTTTTACACCAAGACAACAATATTTTTCCTCAACACAGACGTACAATATATTTTAGATATGCATTATATTTTTAAATTCACATTAACTAAATAATTTTCATCCTTAATGATAATCTTACTATCCATGTAGCCTATCAATAATATTTTACGTTTTCTGACAAGACAACTAAAACGTTTTACTTCTACCGCTTATTTTAATAGGTATGTAAAGGGTTTATTCATTTCAGTATTCACTTTTTCAGGACAATAATATCTATTTGTAAATTATAAACTCGATTGTTGCATATTACGTTTAATGTCGCAATAGAGATAACACAATTGAATTGCAAAAATAAAAAGCAAATAAAGTTGTTTTGGAATAGGTAATCAAGAGCGAAGTCGTGCAAAGATATATAGGGTAAATTTAAATTTTATCTTGCGGATAGTTTAAAAGTAGGTGCCTATCCTTTAAGATAAAGAATACATTTTTACACCATGAATTGTCAAGGTTCAGTGAGTACCTTGAAAATGTGTTAACAGCAACATCAATGTCGAAAAAGATATCGACAAGCTCTTCCACTTCTGAATCTGGTGACATCGGAGGTGGCAAAGTAGCAGTCCGGGGCACTCCGTCAGCAGAATGACTCACACCGTTGAAGAGCAGGCTCTCCGTCTGGACCACGGGCAACATTGCTACAGCCTACGCATCAATCGGACACTGCCACCACTGTCGTGATGAAAGTCACCCTCTATCGACTTATATTCTATACACAGTTTTAATTCGTATCGAAACACACACTGCATTGCGCCACGCTCGCCGCGACGCTATTTTTCAAGTTAATAACTTATTACTTCGTGTATGCGAACCGATGTCTTCAAATTATCGCTCGTTACATAGCTCGGCACGGAATGTTTACGTGCTCATAATATTTTCTGACGAGAGCGTGCACAAGCTTTATTACGCAGCTAATAAAATAATGCAATATCCTATCGATAGCCGTGCGAAACGTTCGCTACAAAACGGCGATGAAAGTCAACTGAAAGACGAGACACATATATACATACATCCTTGTCGTTCACTACTTCACAAATTATCAACACGGCGGCGCGGCGGCGCGGTACGCGACACAGCATCGACGGCGCGGGGCGGTGAGGACCTACTCGCTTAGCGGCTTAAGCATATCGCTGCTTTAGTCACACCCACGTCATCGCCGTCTTACCAATTCTCTTTCGATCTCACTCATTGAATCGACAACGAGCAAGGCGAGAAGGTCGGTAGGATACCAGAAAAATTCAGACAACGTCGAAATTACAAACATATTAATCGTAAAATTCAATAAGTTTCTAATTTCTCTATCTTTAGAAACTTCGAATTTATACCCTGCGTTTTGATTAGCGGATGACAATGTGTAAAAAAATAAATATTTTTAAAAATCATCGTAAAGGACATTTAATTAACAAAGATGAAAGTAATGTGAACTCAACAATTGAGATAAACACAGTTGTTTATCGTGTACAAGCGGACACGAAGATAACTTCGCGCCACATAGATATATATATACCTATAGACATGAAAGTGAAATGGAACAGTATTCGTGTCAAGTGCACAATTTAGATAACAAGGTCATTTATTGCATAACTCATTTTACTGATATTGCCTAGTTTTGGCGTAATTGTGCGAACAATGACGAATTTTAATTATTTATAAAACGCTACAATTCATTTTTATTAATATAACGGACCTGTCGTAGGAAGGTTTAGAGTTATGTATTTAAGATAATTGTAGACAGTTGTAGTAATAACAATTTGTATATTTATAAAGTGACCTGCAACTAAGTGAGCTAAATAGGAAAATTTGCGCTAATTGAATCCAAAGACGTTACTTATAAGGGCTAGTTAATCGATTCATATTCGCGTAAACATCTAAACAAGTAAAGAAGCATTTAAGTAGAGGAAGAACAGCCGTGCGCGGCATGTGCAGATATCGGTGCAGGCGGCCCCGCAGATCTATGTCAGTGGGTCACGGCAGTGACGTGGCACACGGCCGCGCCGAGCCGCGCACTTCATTCTAATTCCGCTTCGCAGTGTTGGTGTCATCGTTTCTAGCTACTTTATTGTCATTATACGAAAACGATATAATTCGTGAAGTAATAACGTTATACTGCATCTTTGCTTCAACGCTAAAACCAAAGAAATAATTATCTTTGGGTTTTTTATTATAAAATGCATTTTGGAAAATTACATTTAGATTTTAGACAGATACATAAGTAATAATAATATTTATATTTTTAAAGTAAAAAATGGATGACACATATTAAAGTTGATACCTTATAGACACAAAAATAAAAATAACAATAAAAAAATATATTTCTGATATTTCTACATTCTCCTTCTATGGCAAAAGAATTAAAAAGAAGTTTACAGAAGACATTTCAACTGTGTTTATTAATTGCCTTAAATGCCTTACATACTGGTAGGAATTGATTAAAGTTATATGTTAAAATATAATAACTATATTATTGCACACACGAGTATATCAGCTGTGGATAATGGACTGATGAGATTCAAACCCCTTGAGGAATTAAGCAACACGATACGAAATAATTCTCATATTGATGAGAACATAATTGACTTGTGATCAAGTTATTTGCAGCTATTATAGAAATATATTGATAATTAACTACTCAACGAACCTATATACCTAGTAATCTAAGCCTTTTCTTATTGACTATGTTCGTGTATTGTACGACTTACGCCACTATAATAATTACGATTAATAAATGTTGTACCTGTAAATGTGTTAGCCTGCAACTTTTAAAACTTTATATAGGTTTGATCTCGATGCAATATTTATTAGTAATAAAGGAAAATTGACGCGTCATTTTTAAATTAAGGTTATCCATAACAATATTCTTTTTAATTAGTGTTGTATGTGTATACTAACAGTTATAGATTTAATACGTACATTGTGTAATTCAACTGCATTCGTTGAAGAGGAAAGTTTTGGTACTCCCAGCTAGCAGGAAAATCTTACGTTTACTAAGTGAATGCTAAACTTACAATAAAACGCCCTGATTCGTTGTAATAAAAAGAACATAATAGTAACTTGTATTTTTGTAGCGACTAACATTCAAGTTTAAATAAAACACTTTAACGGTTTAAAACGCGATATCCGAAACGTGACTTCCCGTGACCAGGGCTGCTGCAAAGCATCCGAAACGTCAGGCCGAAGTTAAAAATCATTTTCAAATAAGTTTAACTAATATATCGCGTTTTAAACCGTTAAAGTGTTTTATTTAAATGTGTACTACTCGCGTAAACTATAGACAGTATTTAACATTCAAGTTGTTTTCTTCTGTCTCGAGAGCTGCATTTATAAATATTATAAGTATAAATAATCGATAACATGCACAATGTTTAGATAATAATTGCATCCTTTATCTAATGTGCCAAAAATTGTGCAACTATCCCAAAACTTACTGATAACAGAATTTGTTAAAGTGAAAAGGACTGATAATATTGTATGAATGGTCAAAGGTCATGGTCAGATATAGTTCTTAGTGAGTTGAATAAAAATTGTACTGAAGATATTTTGTTTTCTGATTTTAAACGTCCTAATTGAGTAAATATATCCCCCTACTCATACAACAAGATACAAAAATAAGCGTGCTAGTTAGTATACAATTTTAATTAACAAGAAAATGTTTATTAAAAATTAAAAAAAAAAATACTAACATAATAAAAAATTATTGCATTTTTAAGACAAAAAATAATTTTAACAAGATAGAAAAAGCGCAGAGCTCCGTGAGACACTGCTTTGTGACTATTTCTTAATTTGTTATATTTGTGAATATTTCGTTGACACTGAATCATTTCATTTGTTTCATAATATACTTTGTCATTTATTCATGTAAGTAGGCAAATCTTCTTCAAAGAAGCCTTTAAATAATTTAATGAAATATATTTAATATAAATAAGTATAAAACATGTATAATGTAGATAGCAGAAATTATAACGTTAAGAGCTGAAAGAATGAGAGAAAAGAGTTTTCAACAGTGAAAGGAATCCTAACAAATGCGTTGCGTCACGTGGGCGGGCGGATCGATTGAGTGGACCACGATACGAGCGCTTGCGCGGAGACAATGTTATATTATCGACCGTTAACTTTTCACCTAAGTCTTTTGGGGCAGGTTAGGCCTATTGCTCTAGGGTCAAGGTCACGTGCCTTTCCGTTAAAACGCATCTTGAAACCTTTAACGCGATATCGCCCCGCAAACCACTGGCATAGGCTATTTTCGTCAAGTATATGTGCCCGCCAGCCTGAAACTATCTATCTATGATTTATAATTATATATTTGTGCGTGTCTTTAGACATACATTAGTATAAAATTATTTGTGTTGGAAACATCGAACCCTGTTTTTTTTAATACAGTAAATAACTACTATAGAAATAAATTAGTAATTATGCAAATTTAAGTACATTGTCGATTGAGAAACGTATTAAATTAATCTTGTTCAACTAATAAATTTCATATAATTGGTATCCTAGGAGAAAATCCTTGTATCTATACAATCGTTAGTGGTATTAAAGGGAACCGAAGAGAAATGCGCGAGAAATATGCGCGAGTACGGTACAGAGTAGCTGTGGAGAAGGGTGCGGGTTTCCTTGGCACGGGATTGATCGTACCCTCACTTCGAGCTCGACACGCTGAGCTACCGAGGTCGCTATGGAAACCGCCAACCGCGGCTGTTGTCGTCGCAGCGTCGCCGTAACCATACTAGATAATATTAAATCTTATTCTTTGAATATACACACGTTTTTATTTCACAAAATGTTGTTCTTTTCTTTTAGAAATAAGAATCACACCGATGTCTCGAATCGAATCACAATATAATATACATATAGTAACTTTCGTTTAGTGTTAAGAGAAACGTACAGAATACTTGAAAACGTGAATTTTTTATTGGACAGCAAACATTCAAAATGTTGGAGTTTTTTGTTCCTTTCACGGGAATATGTAGTTTTTCGAGATAAAGAATCGAGCAAGAATAATGACGTATACAAAATTAAAAGTAGATCTCACAGTTCCATAACTTTACACCATAGAATTTGAAAAGATTTTCGCATACCTACACAATATAAATACGCTACCCAAAGTCTAAGTTTGGTCCATCAAAGATCCAAGTTCAGACATCCAAGTTTTTACCTCGATCACTAGAGTTCCGCTAACATAAGAGATTGATGATTGATGATGAGAAAAAAAATCGTGATTACTTCTCCCTGTGATCATCGATAACCTGACTTTGAATTATAACATATTTCTTAATTTTTATCTTTGTAAGAGGCACTATAATCAATATTAATTTTTTAGACTGCAAAATAGATATAAATAATTCTATGAAGTTAAATTGATTGCAGTGGATTTCTAGACCAGTTAACATTCACAATATTAAAATGAACTGGATTTGTCATAATACACGATGTACGATTACCTACCATAATTCCTTTTAATATTAAAATATCTTAAAACATATATTTTCCAAATAATAACTTACTTAGCATTTTCGTTAGCCAGGACTTGCATAAATATTTCATTGACGTACGTGGCGCCATTCAGCGCCGTATCTTGTCGATCCGTGGCTACCACCAGCAAACAGCACTGTACTGTCAGAAAAACTGTAACAAACAAAATAGCTTATTGCATTTTTTTAAATCTTATAACATCTGAAATAAAAATCCATTTAAGAATGTAGGCCATCCAAGGGACAATCCTAACAACAAAAGTTTTTTAATACAGTTTCTTATTTAGAGGCAATGTAAGACATTTAAATTTATATTGTATTCATAAGCATTTTAGTTACAAATATACTCCCCTCAGCAATGTCCTCCAGACTTTAGTTATTGCTCATGGTCAAACCTGTATGCATAAAAAATTTTCTATCGGCAATTGCAAATGATCTGCCACTGAGCAAATCAAATACAGAGAAATAGAAAATATTTTAAGAAACTTGATATTTTCATAGGTATATTTTTGATCTTTGATTAATCCTGTTCCACAATAAAATTTAAAACTAATTAGCTTCCAAAGCGTTATATACTTAATCTCTAATAAACTTTTTGTATCATTCCCTAATAAGGGATTAAAAGCCATTTTGGTAAGAGGACTGCTCTTAACCAGAATCTCAAATGAATTATTTCCTCTTAAAAAACATAATTCCGTCTCTACTATTTACTTATTGCAGCAATAAATAGGCTACCTTAAAGTAAATTAAGATTTTTAATCTGGCTTTTTATTTGTAAAACTAGTACATCCAATTATACAAACTCATCAGTTATATTTGGTATTGGGTAATATGGTAATACACTATCTATAAATATGTTGCTCCGCCTGAAGGATTGTACAAACTATAAACCTTTAGATTGTAATTATAAACAGTTAACATTCTATCAATAAGGAATTAACAAAGCCAAAACATGAAGATTGTAGCATCTTATAGTACTTATGACTTCAATAGTTGAAATTTTTGAAAATCACGGTATTCATCTTTAGAAGTGTCTATTGTTTAGAAGAATTTTATAGGTAAATAGAAGCCTGCCCAAAATACTGAGAAATAGTTATTCATCCATACATAGAAAATTTGGTGAAAATGTGGATTTCCAAATATCCAAAGCCAAAGTAGGCTGACAGCACATCTTGTTTAGATGTTATATGGCTGGAGTATTTCATCAACCATCGAGTGAACCTCATGCTTGTCAGTCCTCGTTTATTATAAAAAATTTAGAGAATAGGAGCAATCAGAGATATTGTCTTTACTACACACACTACTTTTTCTATGGGCCTGGGTGTAATCTGACTTTCATGCCTTCTTATAAAAAATATATCATGAAATAATTAAAATGAACTTGTACGACATGGTTTTGCATATAAAGTAATAAAAATTCAGCACCAAACATCAGCCAAATTTGATACTTAAAACTATACATTTATTTTGTGGGAATCATACTGTCATTGCCTATTCCGATTGGATTTTATAAAAGGGACCATATATTACTTTCTAATATGAAAGACAAAGCATAGAAGGTAGACCCACAAAGATTTAGGAAGTATGATCAGAAACAAGTACGGCAAGGCAGTAAGCTTAAAGGCAACTCATCTCCGAGTTAAGTAATCATTAATGCTTTAATAATTTAAGACATTAAAAACTGCAAGATTGCTTTAAATATGTTACGTTACTCTTACTAATGGTAATTTGTTAATTTTTAATGTAATAAACACAATAATATAATCTTTTGGTGTAGTGTTTATATATTTTTGATTAAGATTTGATTTAATAACACATAAGAAATTTGAAATTTTTTAAATAAAATTGCCACCCCTTCTTTAAAAAAATAACCGTATTATTATTATTGTTGTAATAATTACTGTTGTTCAAGAAGAACAATGACGTCATAACATTGACAGTCAATATCAAGCAGTAAACAAATCAACTGCTAAAATGTGCTGCTTTGTTTTCATGTGGTGTTGTCTAGTTTTCTTGCTTACTTCGTACAATGTCGGTATGCAATTATTAAACTTTTTGTTGTGATCGGACATTATAATCATCAACTCAAGTGTTTCAGGGCTAACCGCGATCAGTAGATGACAGTAAAACTAAATAACATGGCGGCATCTTGTTGCAGCCGGCCTATAACATTTTCCAAATATAAGAAAAGTATTTAAAACTTACATTATCCTTACACCAAATTATAAGCACATAATAGGAAAATCACTGCTACACATTTAAGAAAAATGTTTAGGTTCATATCAAACACTACAGTGTAAAATGACGTAACATTCTCAACCTTCACGGTCGCACAGTACAAACGGCAATAGGCAAGTACAAGAAATTTTTGGTTCACTAAAACAGTAATTGAGCACAACACAAAATTTCGTGGCGAACACACTAAAATACACTGCTCGATATTCGGGGCACAATTAATCCTTGAGAGTTTATAGAATTTTACGAAACGCGTTTATTATTCTGCCAGGGAATAAACGTGACACGCAGTCAGGCAACTTCACTCTTTTACACTCACTTTTTTATTTTTTTAGCGCTGCAGGGTTGGATATGTACAGATAAAAAATTGTTCGCTGGCACCTTTAAAAATATAGATAATTAGGCAATACAGACGTAAAAGTATTATACGTCTATGGTAAGTAGAGATGAATGACAGGCAAAAACAAGTCATAGACAAACAAAGACCTCTTTTTATATATTCTGTATAATCTAAAATATAAAACAATATTTTACTTGCATTTATTAGAATAAATATAATTTTGTTAATCACTATTTCCGGAGCTTTTTTAAGTTTAATTATATTAAATAAAATAAAACGACGCGATCGCGTCGGGCACATACTTTACATCTTATACGTCGCTACGCATTTGCACAGATACCGCAGAAAATGCATCGGTATACATATCTCTTTTCTAGGTGAATGATTGTAGGTATGTAAAACTCAACAAAAAATGCAAGAAATTTAAATGAAATAAAAGCTAATGAAAATATATTGTTTAATATATGCTACAATTAATATTCCAATAAGCTCTGTATCGTTTGAAAACATTAATATTTTTCACATGAAGGCACTATATAATTTAAAAATCGAAAATAATTTTAGCTCTATATCATTATTATTTAAACTGTAATATAAACATATTTTTATAAATCACTGTGTAATCTGTACAGGTACATTTAAAGTAGTGTTTAACTTATATACGAGTAGGTAGTGATTTGTATTGGGTTAGATCCAGTTTTATTAAAGATAGGGTTGCCACCCATGAAAGAGTCTGCAGAGGTTAGCGCGATCTGTCGCACAGTGGAGTAGAGCAGCGACCTGACCACAGACCGACACTCCACCAGCACCTCCTTCGGAACCGCTAACTTTACTTCGTACAGCTAGGAGCGCACGTTCAGCCAAACCACCGGCCGAAACATTTTCACCTCTTCTTTCGTCTGTGAATGATAAGATTTTCTGAAATTGTGATTTTCAGTCGTGAAAGTATGCAGTAACTTAGGAACAGGCAGTTAATAGAATTTCAAATTAATTTACAAAGTAAACAGCGTCTCAATGCGTGTCCGTGTGTGGCGGCAGCGTCATACTGCTGTAAGTTCAATAAGCGTATGACTAAACACATTTTATATTCATATATCATTATTTACAGCATTTACAGTAGTCGAGTTACGTCTTTAATAATGCTGTTCCCAACTTACACTCAAGCAAATACCTGATAGCAAATAAATTATGATTATAAAATGTTTCAGATAACATGAAAACATTATGTATTTACAATAAATATAAAGTATGGGTCGAATTAAATTTTCAATTTTTATCATGTATTTGTTATAAACAGTGTAAAAGGTAAATTAGTACTTACAAGAATTCTTAGCGGCATCCGGGACGATCCATAAATACAACGGATCACATAAAAGCACTTCTAAAATGGTCAGCAAAGTTTCCTGATTATCCCGAAGCAATAGCAAAGTTTTCTCGCAGCATCTAAAATGAAAAACAAGATGGATAAAATACAGTTTAATACAAAATAAAATAATAAAGTGAATAATTATTATACCTTCTAAATATTCCTTCAACTCCACAGCACCCAAAACCAGCAACTATATCTTGTGTTAAACGGAATGGGACCGTCTCTGGTGTTGGTAATGTTTTGCCTTGATCGAAAGCGATACCTGAAACATTTATTAATTAGGTATGAAACTAAGGTCTTTTATAACGATTGTGGTCCGCAAACGTTATATAAAACCGAGGGACCACCTAAAAGAAGAACATAAAATATAATAACTATAAGTTAATAAAATATGTTGTGTGACACAGACGTGCTATAATAATTATTATCTTTATTAAATAATTATATAGCTATATTGTCGACCTAGATCAAAGTTTTGCGACATAACTTTTTTTGTTTGTTTTATAAACAGGAGGTTTTATATAAACAACGTGTTTTTCTTTTGCTACTTACCAAAATCAATATGTATAACTTCAGCAGTCGTTTTGTCTATTAATATATTCTGGACGTGACGATCGCCTAATCCCAGTATATATCCAACCATGGAAGATGTTGCAACGCTATAACAAAATGTTTCTTTGTTTGCTATATGTTCACTTGTAGGAGATTAATCAATCAGTAATATTTACTGTGTGTATAAGTTTGTATCAGAAGCAAAATAATAAATAATGATGAGTTTCCATATAAATTAAAAAAAAATTACACACCATTAGTTACTTCAGTTTTTTGTCTCCTCAAGACAAGTTGAAATTTATAAATATGTAAAGCTTTCCATCATTTTACCTTCTAGTGTAGGCCAGTCGTCGTTCATACCACGTGACTGGGTCGAGGTAGTGTTCCGTGAAGAAATAGTGGAATATTGGCTTAAAGACTCTAAGTATTTCGTTAAAAACAGCCAACTTATGTTTATTGGATCTTCTGTGCTCATGGCATTCTTTCATCTTATTTCTAGCTACACTTGGAGTGATGTCCTGAAAGATGTGTATATTATTTATTCATTGAAAATTAATTATTCTCTACACCAAATATTTTTTTTTTTAATTACCTGAGGTCGATAGCGCGTGTGTGCGTGAACCAAATAGGTGCCGAGCGGCATTGTTCCTGCGCACCACTCCAACACACCTGAACGACGAGACATCGGTACTACCTTTATAAAAAAAAGACATTTTGATACACTTATGGATATGTTATACCGTTTATCATAATATCGGCAAGTACATTAAATAATCCTAGTTTGAACTCGTTTGAGAAGGAATTATGGCGTAAGAGCCCCCATATAGCTCAATGGTTTTTTTTTGTTTTTGTTATTTTAGCCAAAATTTAAAAGTTTGCAGAATCCAAAAGACTATTTCTGTATATTTAATCTATGTATATCATGAGTAAATTTATAATATGGCAATAAAACACTCTATATTCCGTGTATGTTCAGCCATTTTTGCTTTGTAATAAAAAGGCGGGAAAAGTGGTGTCATGGTGCAACTGTACTGAGTATTGTTATCAATTTTTCATTAAAGCCTGATCCAGTCAATATGTTTTTTGTTTACCTCACATCAATGTACGACATTACCAATTAAAGAATCACCAAATTTGCGTTAAGGCCTCCTAAAGGTCTATAGGCACATTCAAAGAGGAGAATTACCTTATAAGTACGAATAAGCAGTTTATTGTGATAAGTCACAGGATTCTTCTCAAGTAACGTGTTTACGATTGTGAACACTTGTTGCATCACAGCATCTTGCCTTAAATCATCTTCTCCCTAAAACGGTAAAAAAATATATAGCTTACGTACGGCGTACTATAGTTTCATGAAAATGCCTGTTTCAGGTGTTACCTTAATCAGTAGAATTCTTTTCTTTCCATCTGAACTTCTACAAGATATTTTTTTGGGGAAATTGATACCACCAACCAGTTCGTAACAGTTTTCAAAAGCGGACAAACCTATAAGAAAACAATTATTACAGTAACAGCAAAAACCCTCTTTGGGTTTTTAATTATATTTTCTATAGAAATACTTGATTGAATGTTCATGAAAACACAGTCTAAGTAACCGGGTCCCGCTTAAACTGTCTTTAGATTCTAAGAGGTTATATTTTTAATATATCGAGTTACTTACTACTAATTTTCGTATAATCACAATTGCTCTGAATAGCTATGGTATCTGTTGGTACTGGTATGCAATCCAAATCGCGTAGTTTGAATATAGGTTCCTCTCGCGGTATTGGTATCGGTTTGCCAATTTCTTTTGATGTCGGGACAAAGTATGCAAAGCTAATGATTGCTGTAACCAAAAATTATTAATAAGCGTGCTAAGAGATTTCTAATATAAATATAAATAAGAATGGTATAGTGGTGTTATTATATCGGAGGTGTATCTCGCTATGTTACCCGTGTCATAAACGTATTAAAAGATAACTAAGTATAATATTATTATCGGTAATGCACCTTATGAGATGGGGAAAATTATATTTTTTTATTTAATAGTTTCGATTGAACGGGACGTAGAAGTGTGATTACCTTTCTGTAAATTAAATCGACCCGTAAAACAGATGAAGTAGTTTGTCTGGCCCACCTTGATTTTTTTTTTATGGTAGAGGATGACAGACAAGGTTTCACGTGATGAAAGTTAAAATACCCCAGCCATATACATCTAAGCCATCGAAATCGAAATTCCGATTCCACGGCTGAAACCGAAACGCGATTAAACTTCATGGCTTTTTAATTTAAAAATCGAAAATAAATTGAAAAAAATTTCGACTCGGGCAGGCGTGAACCAGCATAGTCAGAGTTCCGTGCTGTTGCTATACCAATTGGGCTACCGAGTCCTACACCTCATCGTCGAATTTTTTCAACTCGATACATGCTCCTCTCGCGCAATGTAATTTCAACCTTAACACTTCCGTATTAAGGTTTAACGTCTTATGCTTTGCAGCTTAAGAAATCATTGAAGATGAAATTACAAAGGTAATAACATTCCATGGCTTTTACATGACCCAGACGGAATTTCGTTATTCCTACCACCTATTTAGTATCCAGACAACATGTTTCAGAATAATTATTATCTATTAGAAAAGTGTTAGACTCAGTGGGGGTCGAAACTCGAAACCACAATTCGTTGATTATTAGTTATATGTTGCTACCATTACACCAACGAGGTATGTAACAATACTGCATTTAAGCATGATGTAAGATACATACCGTCACACAGTAACTCCATTTGAGATATCAAGACTGCTAAAACTGGATTGTCCGAGGATAGGTGTGAAATCAGCTCACTAGCAGCAGCAACCCGCGATTCTGGAGGAGATTTCGACAGACGGGACCCCGAACTAGTCTTTACGAAGTTCTTATCCTTATCGGAGTTTTTCAAATTAAATAAGATAGGCAATGTATGATGCGGGTGTTCTATTGCACATCGAGCTGAAAATGTGTACGTGCATTTTATATACATTATACAATAAGTATATTATTAAAACAAAACAATTTTTATTGTAGAAATTGTGCAAGACTTTTAGGGCCATTGTCCAGCATATCTTTGTTTTTCAGGCTGTCCGACGTAAGCGAGAAGAGGTTCTCGACGTTTCTCGAATGGAATTTTTCAAGCAATCGAGGATCTTCTGATGATCCCGTCTGCTCGTGACGAAACGTCGTGAACCACTTTTCGCTGACGTCGGCCGGATATCCCAAAAAGCAATGATATAATTTTTATTGTTATCAAGTCAATTGGAGTTAGTCTAAGGAATAGGAATAGAGCATTTATTGAGTGTGTAATTGATAATATGTAGTCTATTTTGAGCACGTTTCTAGAAGACTATTAAAATTAACGCATATATTTATATATCTATAGTAGTTAGGCCAAAACCTACTAAACAAAAAATTCACTAAGACCCCCGCTTTTGGACGGTAGTTAAGTATATTTATGAAATTAATTAATTGTACTTTAAAAGCTAGCGAAAGCATATTAAAAAGTTTTATGCCTGTCGATTAGCTTATGGAAATAAAAAAATGACCAATTTAAAACCAAACTAGAAGACATGACTAAAAAAGTCTGAACAACAAGCGTCCACATAAAATATAAACTAAACCTTATAATAACGAAGAGGTAATAATTACTTATAATGTTCCGCAAGTGTTGATTAAATGGTGTATTTTCTACGGCAAGGCGGGGCGCAATCTGGGGCAGGACTGTGATGAACTTCCACGATGGAATAGCCTGCAGCATCTCGCCTAAGCCCTCGTTCAAATCCATGTTGTTGTTTTCAAACCATAGTGAAATCACGCGAAACACCGATAAATTGTTCTCTTCGCTTTGTTTTAAGGATAGCATGTAGTATCTGTAATAAAAAAATGAATTTTGTAAAAATTTATGTTGTATTAAAAATTTTCAACTCTATTGTACTCTTTGTATTGTTAAGCTTTACAAGACCTGCACGTTATTATATATATTTAATTTTATTTTATTATTTTTAACAAGGAATGCCAGGAAGAGGTCGCTCTATAGCGAGAAGGGCGCCCATAGCGCTTCATAACTTGTAAACATTATTTTATTCCAAAGAGTTGTATTATTAAAGTTTTTATATACATACTTTGTGTGTGTTACAAATAATAAATAAATATATCAAATTTAAATAAAACACTTTCACGGTTTTAAACGCGATATATATTAGTTAAAATTACTTGAAAATTAATTAATTATGTTTTCTATGTTTTTGTATTATTCATATTTATGCTGAATAGATAAAATTAAGTACCTCATAGCAAGTTTCAGGAATGTTGCTTTCTCTGCTCTGGTATTAGCTATTTCAGCTTCATCCAATTCACGAAATGCGTTATTAGCTATTAGAGCTCTCCTTTCATCTCTAAAAATATAAAACGAAATTAATTTATCGAAAGATAAATAATATAGAAGAGAGAACCGCTCCCACCACCCCCTCATCATAGGGGGAAACGGTATTTTTGAAGAATTGAGTCAAAACATACTTCGTTAGAGTTTGCTGAGTCGACTTCAAGCAAGCTGCCGTGCCTTTCATACTTTCCATACATTTGACTTTGTTTTCGAATGTTGTAGAATTCATGTACGAAGCGACCTTAAATAAATAATTTTCTTTTTAGTTAAGTATTATTAAAATAAATATATTAGAAATATAAAATATATTAGAACTTAAGTATTCGTTTGTTTTTTAATTTAAAAACTCACTAGGATATCTGTACAAAAATAGAGTAAAGAAATAAGTTGGCTATGGTATAAAATTTAAAGCGTCGTTTGTTCATCATTTCTACTCTAAGAGACTTACATAGAATTTTATTTTTAGGATGGCAATAAAACATTTAATAAAAGCTAGGTTTTGTACCACACATACTTGTCTATACTCTGCGTCAGCGAACTGCGCAATGTCGTAATACACCTTTCGCCTCGTCTCCACATCGACGCCATCATGTAGGACATTCAGACTCTTTTCCATATATTGGTTTATTATATCCCGTGCATTTTCTCGTTTACTCTCTGCCATCCACAATCCATACTGTCTGGAAATTTGTACAAAAGGTTTACGTAATTATATACACTATCTAAGCTGTTACTTTGATTACGACTAAGATAGGCAATTCCATAAAACACTGTTACTTTTTATTGATTTAATATAATATAGAAGTATTCGTGACTCTAAAGAATAAGAGTCTCTTCAGCTCTTAGGCGTTGCATTTTTCTTGTAAGCTTTTTTTCTTCCTCATTGTGTATAGAACTTCTAAGGATAAAGAAAGGAAGTGTATTTAAAAAAGTTAGTAATTATTTACCTCAAAGACATGGCAGTCACTTCCGCATTATCAGAAACGTCAAGAATATTGTCGTGCAAAAGAGATAGAGCTATGTCCTTCTGCCCTTTTCCCCAGGATACTTTACTCTCCAAAAGTGTCACTTCTTTAGACGGATACAACCTTTTAATCGTCGCAACTATGCGTTGTGCCATTTGAACTCGACCATTTGATAATCCCAATTCTGTAACAACCTTTTTTAAACAAAAATATAACTTTTAATATCACAGACGACGAATGTTTCAACTTACCAGCATATTGTAAACGGAGGGAGTTAATTTGGGATGCATGTAGACCATAATTTTCGGAGGCATGCTGAAGTATAAGACAACGCTGCGATATTACAGTTTCAATGTGTTTGAAGTCTCTGTAAGGCGGCAGTTTTTCAACCTTCCAATCATCTAGGAATGTCAATATAGGTTCCTTGTTACATCTTACAGCGAAATAGTTCTCTATATCCCGAAACAAATGCAAGCTGGCCATAATTTTGTATATGCACTGTGAGTTTTCAATGTTTAAATTGTGACATAATCTTGAAATAGAAAGTTTTGCTCTTTTCAAGATGTTATCAAGCTTGACGTAAAAATCTTCAGACGCTTGTAAGTTGAGGCAGTCTTTCAGACAGGCATACCGATACATTCTGGTGATAGAATTGCTATTACAGGAAAGTAATTTAGATTTTTGGTCCAATTTCTGAGTATCTACCAGGTCACTCCACTCGCCTATAACAATCAAACAGTCACTGTATTTTGAAAACAAGTTATTTTTATGCGTAACCTAAATGAAACTTTTATTTTTTATGCAAAAAATGATGAGGTGAGTTCCATTTGATCGCCGGAGATATAAAAAACTTTACTAACAAAAGCTTTTTTATTATTAAAATTTTATTGTTTGTGAAATAAAACATGATAAGCATGACAATAACCTGTAGATTCATACTTTAATTAAATAAACAATTTCTTTCTATAAATCTTAAAAAAAAAACTCACCAAGGAGAGACAGGCAATCATACTTAATATCATTAAGTTTTTCGCTCTCGGGACACGACTTTATATACTGCAGAGCTAGATGGTGCATCCCAGCACGATGCAAAGAGGTTACAGCTCCGTGGAAGAGAGTGAGATCTTGCGAACCAGAAGACAAGGCGATGTCGTGAAGGAGCAAGGAGTCAGTAAACTGGCCAGTATTGATCAGATGCTTCCGCTTCTCTTCCTCACTGGTCAAATGTGCTGTCCCACAGCCTTCTACGGCGTCAAGCTCTCCAATCGATACAAAACACTGTGAACGAGAGAATATGTATTAAATGATTAATATTTAATTTTGTCCTTAATACTGGATACTTCTTAAGATTATGTACTTGAATTAAGCAATCCCTGAATTTTTTAATTCTTTTAAATGATTAAGGTGGACATAGAAGCATGGGGCTCCCTTGATGTAAAGTGAAAAATACCATATAACATCTAAACAACTGGTGCGCTGCCAACCTATTTTGGCTTTGGATAATAGGAAATCCACAGACTAAAACCGAAGCGTGGTTAACCTTTTTACGTTCGTGGACGGTGATTCGTAACCCGGATGGAATTTAGATATTCCTACAACCCATTAAATATCCAGATTTTCAGTCGAAGTCCCACATATTTCAGAAAAATTTAAAATTGATAAGAAACATGGGGGGTCGCATTATTAGCCATTCTCTGTAACGATTAGAACGACGAGGCCGCCAACGTTTGCATAATTATAGCGTACTGGTAAGCATATTATTTTAATGGAACCAACCTCCCTTAAAATTCTTTGCAAATGGCCGCCGCCGTCTAGATTAGATGTTGAATCTGGTGACGCTGGAGGAACACCGCCATTTTGGGCTGTCGCCCATAATTCACCATAGTATATGGCTACTAGGTTTAAATCGGCCAACGCACCTGCCCAGGCTACTTTCTTGTAGTCCAGGTTTAGATAATTCAATGATAAGGCTGTTCTGTGAAAGACTTTGCATTTTAATAAATAATATTTATATTAAATTAATATGTTTTCATCTTATTTAATAAGAAGAGAGAAGAAGAAGATTGAAAAGATGTCTTACCTGATTTTATAAGTTTTCGCTTGTAACCGAACAAAGTTGACAACTCCCAAAAGGTAGTGGATAATCAATTTGTGCTTGTGATCTAATTTAGCGGAGAAACTAGTGCCGGTCCCGTCTTCCGTGTATTCGAGTTTGTCATCAAATGTCATTTCCCATATGTAACTGAAAAACTGGTTTATTTGCTCGCCTACGATTTTTATAATTTTCTCTGATTTCGATTTAGTATCAGCATCGAATAATAGGCCTAACACGGAAGACATAACTGTCGCTGAGACTGCTGGCTAAAAAAACGTTTGAAACTATACATATAAAATTCGAATCTTAATCGGAATTTCGGTAACAAACACATGATGATATTTCTTTTATCTCCAGTGTAGCTTTTCAACTAAAAAGGTATACCTTTAAAGAACAAACTGCACTAAGAACAGCAACGCAGTTATTTCCTGGCACTATTAGGTTCAAAAGGGCTGTGGTAATTCTTACAACCCACTCGAAATTATCTTCGTTTTGCTTTGGTAACCAAAGGTCAACATCACTGAAAGATTCCAGCTTAGCATCATCAATTTGGTATTCAGCAAATATTTCACAGCTTGTTGGTGAAAGGGGATGCAATAACTTTTTGGGAATTCCATCCATATCTGCCAAAGATTTTTCAGTAAGATGTGAATCTGTAGTTTACTCGAGTACGTATTATTTTAAGTTAAATCAAGTTTATAAAATTAAATTTACCCATGACACCACGTTCCGGACACTTTTAAATATTGATCGCGTTTCAATCAGTTTTATTTATGAATGTTAATATAGCATTACAATTAAATAACTCACCTAAAGTTGCTTTACCATCGCGGTATTTCATAGCATGGTTGATGACTATAGCAACTTTATTGTTAACAGAAGGATTATCATCAAAGAGTTCACTAGACAGTGTCAACAGTACATGGTACACGAAATATTGTTTAGGTGGCAAAGTACTTATTTTCTCAGTATTTGCCGGCGGAACCGTAACTAGCGTCTTTAAATCGTAGGTAGACAATTCGGCGACACAGTTGCATGCTTCTACCAATATCTGCAAAGGTGTGAATACTTAAATATTTTTTAAAATACAGTTGTTATGACTGCAGGCATAATCAATTTTGAAATTGTATCTCCGGAGGGCATGTTATTATATTGCATGGTAGTTAGCATCGTTTCGTGACTGAGTCTTAGTCACACTTTATGTTGTGTCCTTGATAAACAAAAATAAATCGTTTGCATTATTGCTTACCTTCGTTTCTTTTGAATATTTAAGTATGCCAAAAAGTGCATTTAAAATTCGATGAATTCCAGTATTCGCGCAGTCTTCAGAGAAGCCCTTTACATTCAAATTCTTACAAACATTGCTAACATAAACAGCATTTTTTGAAAGAAATTGCCTCAAGTTTGACAATATTTCGACACTAAAATAAGACTATACGTAAAAACTGTTACTGTTAAATAAGTTATTCTTGGAAATTTTAAATAAGAGTTACCTGGGATATTTTAAATTTGAAATGAAGGTTTCGAACATATTTTCAAATTGCAATTCACTAGTGCATATATGGTCACTAATTATGCTTTTGTATGCCATATATACGCTATCTACCTCATCACTCCCAGTTAAAGTATCATTAAAATAATCTCTGCCTATTAAAGTCATTTCGCTTTTCGTACTAAATATTGATAAAATTCTGCCAGTGACATCTTTGAGCAGCGATTGAAATCTATTCGGTGTTTCTTTGGAAATTCTACACAAAATAATTTTTAAAGCTTTCGATAACACTTCTAATTCACTCGCCGTTGTAGACAAATTGATGGCGCTAGCTAGACTGCTGAATACAAAATTAAACAACACTAAGTCTGATTCATATCCAAGTGGTACGTTTTCTATGAAAGAAACATAGGTGTGCAGCTGTAGAATTTTCAAATCTAGTACATTTTCGTGTACCATGTTGCCTCTTAGTTTAAACATAATATTTAAGATCACCAAGGGTTGATTTTCATTAAGGTATTGCATTACGTCGCCGTCAATAAGCTCCTGAAAAACATTCACTTCTTTTATCGTCATGTAGTTAGAAGAATTAGTAGGTGATAAACGGTATGAATTTAAACACTTATAAATTTAATATTAGTCAGCTCAATTACTAACTTACCCCAAAATACCTCAATACGGCTTTAAAAACAATCTTGGAATACAAATATGTATGTTTCTTCCTATGGATCTGTTGTAATTGAAAATCTTCCTTAGCGGCGTGCGGGTCACACACATTAGAAGCTGCTAACAAGATCAAATCGCCCATATGCTCAACGAATAAATTACTCCATTTCTCATTCAATAAAATGGCTCGAGTAGATTGAAACATTCTGTTAGAATTTTCGAAAAGGGGTTTAAAATTGGAATGCTTTTCCCCCTCTAATTTGTACTTTTCAATTACTATATATGGAAGACATAGAGTTATTATGGAACAAAAACACATCTGTAAAAAAAATCAACTATTCGTTATCCCAAAAGCACAAAAAATATAGGACCTAGGTTGACCCAACCAGTGGACAGCGCACAAGCCATCGTTAAAATCGTATAATACTTTCGGAAATGGTTACTCTAATATTGGGTCCCCACTGGTTGTGGTGTCCGAGTCATAAATAGTTTATACCTCAATAATATCGACAACCGTTTTCTTAGATTTAGATACAATCATTTTAATAGTTTCGCTTCTATCAATGTGGCCATTGCAATACCATAATATTTCAGCTGCAACCAGCCACTTAAGATGTTTCTCTAGAAACATTTCAACGGATTCAAAACCCAACAGCAACAATGGGAAGTTTTCAAATTTCTCATTTCTATTGAACCACGAGTGAAAAAATCCCATAATATTATTGTGCACGTAATAATCGATATTATGTTGTGTGATTCGCTTTACGATGATATTCATTACTTTTCGCGTAAGGCGTTTGCTAAGCGATTTTTTCTTTTGAAAGTGAATTATTTCAAAGATAACATCATGTATAAGAGAATGCTTTATGTCAGATAACGCACAAAAGCAGTGCAACACTGTAAGTGTTCTGTTATAACTTTCGTCTTTTAAGATTACTTCGTTTTCAGAGGGCATCTGAAAGGAAATATAAAAAGAGTAATTATGAGTTCAGGAATTTAAGTCTTACATATACATCTGATAATGGTCTTACCGATATTACGAAAATATCTGCCATAGAGTTGGATATTGACTGTATATCGCCTTCTTCTATATTATCATATTTGTGTGTCATGAGGTAACAACAGTAAATCCTTATGTTATGTATTTTCCCCTTCAATTGGAGGCTCAGATCAATATCTTTGAAGTAATCATCGAGCTCTATACCACACTTTCTGTTAAGCTTAAGAGCACGTGCCACACATTCGTATATCAATGCCGCAACGTTTGGAGGGTAGAATGATTTATTGCATCGTTCATAATATCCTTTGACCATTATCATGCAGTTTGTTCTTAAAACAGTGTCTTTGGCAGCCCATATTTTATCAAGTATTTTAACTAATATTTGAAGTAGACCTAAAGTAGCTTTCGAGTTGCGGAACAAAACTTTGCACATGTGCTTCATAAGGCTGAACACGATGTCTGAAAAAAATTATAAGATACTGATTAACAAAATGATATCATTTCACTGCTTTCGTTCTCTAAAAGATATGTAATTACCGAGGTATTTGCTATCTTTATCATGCGTTACTATTGTATTAATGCACTTCAAGGCACACTCTCTATCCCAACGAGATTCCAGTTTATACAGATCTTCATCTAAAATGCACCTTAACAGTTCATCTGTGTGTTTATGTGGCTGCGAGCAGAACGCAGCGAGAAAATATACGCATTCATGTTTCAGGCCGACAGTGCTCATATCCATTTCCTCTTCGTAATTATTTTCCTCTTCGTCATAATCTACGTCTGTTTTAAGGACCGCATTAATAGCATGAAAACAATTCTCTTCTACACACGTACGTAATATGGCGTTTAGAAAGTTCCCAAAATCTTCTTCGAGAATTTCTCTAAGACATTGCAAGACGCGTATTTTGTTTACTATCAGTTCGTCAGAACGGATCGTACGTGTTAATAGGGCGAAAATATTTTTTTAACGTGTTTATTAATATAAAATACACCTTAGTATCAACTATACTGTCTTTCGAGATTATTTTATAGTTTTGAAGCCTTTCGTAAAGACAAAAGATCATCTGTACATATTTTCCTATTTCAATCAACCGGGTCCAGTTGCAAGGCCACGATGTATTTGAATATTCCGTGAGTTTATTCTCTAAATGGTTCATAATCAGTTCACTCATATCTTGATTTAGGTCTAGAACTCGCAACTCGTCTTCACTGTCGGTTACCTCTTTAGCAGTCTTCACTTCATATTCAAAATTAGTAAACAATATGCTAGCTTCAATATTATTAAATAGAATTTCGTAAATCTCATTTGGTAGGGCGCACTTGACGTCAATCCGAGGTGAAGGTAGGTTTTCATTAACAATTAAACGTACCAAAATCTTAATTGTGGCTTCTACGCCAACACAAGAAATATCTAAATGCTTCAACCAATCGAAGCATTTTATTCTTTGATCCAAATAAGAGCAATTGCAATAAAATTTAAAAAATACAACATCTAATGTTTCTAGACTGTGGTTGTTGATAGGCATTCCTTTTTCAAAATAGAGAATCAATAGTGGATGTATTTGAGAATATGTCAAAACATCCAATCTCAATAAGCACTTCATTATCATGTGGATGTATTTGTGTGAGTCATTATTCAAAGAGGAGTTCCTTAAAAAATTGTTGCAGTTAGAAAATGCATCAAATGTTACAAAACATTTCACAAGGTCCACTTACCTAACACATGTATTCCACAGAGTAATAAATACTTCATTTTGACTAATTTCATTCTGTAAGTGATTTTGTGCAAAGTAATCGATTGCTGTATAAGTCATTTCACTCAAACCATCCCAATTCGTAATTTTGCTGGTATTGGCAATTAAAACCTCAGATATCCTTATTAGAGAGATTAAATCATTACTTTTGAGAGTAACTTTAAACTGTTTGACATACATGTGCACTATTCCAATCCTGAAAATGTATCATGTATACATAAGACTATTATGACAAAATTAAAATTTCAGATCCTATATACAGCTAGAATATATTAGAAAATAACATAAAAATAAAGGTATTACCAAGGCTCGTGATTTTGTCTTAATTCTTGAAGTAAATCACTAAATGATGACTTATTATTAAAGGTTAGCTTTGGTCTCTTTGACAAATTTTCGCCTCCTTCATATGTTTCACTAGTGTTTTCATTAAAAATCTGAAGTAAAAAAAAGTCCATATATTTGTGGTAATGAATAGGGGTATGGACCAAATAGAAAGAATTAATGTCACATAGGTAACAAATACAGTATTGTCATATATCTATACCTGATAATATGTAATAGCAGCTAGCTCTGAAAACCTTTCACAAGGCTTTAAAGATTTGCTATTTTGTTTCCAATATTTCTGAATAGAATTGACTTCGAGACAGACTATCTCTAATATACTGTGCATATGCTTGTACCAAATTCCCCAATCATGTGCCAAGCTGCCTTCTTCATTTCGTAATCTACCATATGGATGATGGATTCTCATTGTTATTTGTAAGACTTCAAATAATAAAGCCTAAAAGAAAGTGCAAACATATATAGTCATTACTTGATATAGAATACATACATTTACCAAAAATGTCACTTATTTGCTAGAAGTTAATTCCAAATCTTTATTTAAAGTAATAATTCTTATAAGTATGTCAAATATCATTTACCTTTTTCTTAAAATCCATACCATAATCGTAAAACTTAAAGACTAGCGGAAGGATATCTTCGGAAAACTGACATACTTGATGACGAGAATCAGTGCACAGCTGTAGAGAAGGCCTTCTTAATTACTTAAGATATTTTATATTTGTAGAGTATAATCCAGTTTGAAAGCAAAAATTATAAAGTCAGTAAGTATAAAATTAAAAAGAAACAACTTATAGGTTTGATAACAAGATAAAACTGGCAGAATGTTAACAACAACCAATGCTATACTTATAAGATTGTTAATTGTGGGTTGAAAACTTGCCCAATTTTTTCATTATTGTACAGTGAAAATTGTAAACGCCAAAACAAATTACCGATTCTATAAGTAAAAGCACTATCTTCATTATGATTTCTTGTACTTTTTTATCATGCACAAATTTTTGGAAACATTTTTGTATATCTGGTAATGATTCCCTGAGGCATCCAAGGAATTGGGTGGTAGCACTTGCATTTTTTAATATTACCCACAATAACAGTGTCTTTGTTAAGTTGTCTAACTGTGATGAATTATCTTGGCAAATACAAATATATGCATCCAATAGACCTATAAAAGAGTAGACAAAGAAATTATAAACAAAAAATATATCTTTAGTGTACTCGAAGCACATTTTTAATATATGGTGTGTATCATTTGCATAGGAATTTTATAAAATTAATAATCTTACTTTCCCACTTTGAAGGTGTAATAAATCCAATATAATAGTCATGGTTCAATATGTGCTTATGCAATACACTAAAATATGCATCACCAACAGCTTTTCTAAGGCGACTATCATTAAATATGTTTAAACATGCGTCAATGACATTATCACATTTTATGTATACACCTCCTGAAAACGAATTTCACATTTGTTTTACATATTGAAAATATTGACTAAATCATCTCATTTAATTTAATCTAAGGTTACTTTCAATTACCTTTATTAGCTCCTGAAACACATAAATTAAGTAGACTTGTTGCCAGTCCAACTATTGTGGAAAAACTCTTATTAGTTTCAAACTTCTCAGTTTCCTGTAAAAGAAAAAACGTAAACAAACATGCAAGAAATCCAAAAATATATTTTTAACATACAACCTTCAGAATATAATCATTGACATCGTTAAACACATGATTCCAATTGTAGCCAGATTTTTTAAGAGTGTTTTCATTGAGTAAATTAGGAACTGCTGTTCTATTGAGCATATCTTTGAGGGCTTCAGCACTTTTCTTTCTTTCAGTAGCGCGTACAGATGTTAAACTCGAGCATAACTCTCTTAAAGATATTTCTAAAGCCATTTTTTCTTTTAATTATAGAAAATATAGTATTATTATTGTGTATAAACATTCAATAAACATTATTACAATAAATATAATATAAACACATTCAGTAACGGACAATCGTGCAATGACAGATAATAAATAGTCCACAGGTAACGCTACGTGAAATAATAAGACATATTTCTTAAATAAAAGAAATAATAATAGTGTATACTACTAAGCTTTTTCATTTCTCGCATTTTCGCAACACGACGTTGGCAGAATCCATTTAGATTGAGAAAGGCATCAAATGAAGAAGAAGGTTTTAATAAACAAAATTCGACAAAGTATGAAGGATGTGACATTACACGGTAGAAAACGTTAAAAAATATGATTTAGTAAATAGTAATAAAATTATAAAAGCTAGTGGAATGACAGTTCTGTAGTGTACGTACGTACAAACTGCAAGTATTTTTTTGGTACATACACTACTGTACCATAATACAGTTGTGATTTACCCAAAAATACTTCAACAATTTATAGTTATATTATAGTATAATTTTTATTAAAGGTTCAATAATTATTTACACATTATTCAACAGGTACAGTTTCACGTGCACTTGCATATAAAAGTCTTATTGTGTCACAATAACCAGCCCCTCGTCTTGATCCTGTCACTACTACATATGCATCTCCTGCGCGTAATAATCTTTTTGCTTTACAGTAATTTAGAGCAGCATGAACTCTGGAATCAACTTCAATAGGCCAAGCACCTTTAGGAGCTTCAAAGTAGTGCATGGCTCGTACGCCTCTCCAGAAACGTAGTTGTCTTGCCGTGTGGCACGCCCTTGTGACGGCTATTATTGGACATGAAGGCTTTGCATGGGAAAGTATCTTTGCAGTTCGACCGGAATTCGTTAGACAAATTATCACCACTGCGCAAGAACGCATTGCTAGTTCGACAGCAGTTACTCCTATGGCCTTTGTTGGCTCTTCAAGAGAGCTTTGCATGAGATCTGTAATTCCATAAACCTTTGGACGCCAAATAATTCTTTCCGCATGTCTGCATATAACTGCTGCAGCTGCTACGCAATGCTCAGCCATTTTAACTGCATCGTAGCCTGGCACTAGTTTCTTTAACGGTGAATCATAGTGCAATTCCAAAGATAGAACATCAGCCCCATCTATTACGATGTTAGCAATATCGTTAACACATAGAGTAGGTATTTGTTCATTTAAAACTGCTTTAAATATACATGGTTTACCAATATAGTTACATTTTGCTAATATATTTTTTTGGGCGATAAATATCTTTTCCACTGGTAAGTCTGTACTAAGAACACATCTATCCACATATAGGCCGTCAGCTTCAGCTAGTAAGTTGTCGAGATTATCAAGTCCTAGAACGGTCTCAATACAAGCAAAAACGAGAATATGTTTTCCCCTTTCCGATAAAATATCCCTGACACTACGAATGTCTTGGGGGGTCTGCGAATTAGGTACTAGAATCCCGTCGATGTCCGAAGCGATCGCAAATGCAATCTGTTCCTCTATATGTTCAAATGGCTGTTCTAATGAATCACTATAAGATATAGATTCAATACTTTTATTTGCTTTTTTAATACTTATTTCATGAGGAACTTTAGAAATATGAACTGGCATTTTGGCTCCCACAATTCCTCCTACGGCGATACTACATTCAATAGAATCATCGCCGACTTCAGAGACTATTAACTTAATTTTACTAGTACTGAGACTATCTATAAATATTATATCTCCGGTTTGCAAATCAGTCAAGTGATCATAACCAACAAACAAACAATCTACAGTGCCACTCTCACGCCAACTCGTATCTATAGTTAATCTAATCATTTCCCGCTCCTTAAGTTCAATAGTTGTTTCTGGTCCACCTTTAAGTTCTCCAGTTATTATTTCAGGCCCTCTTACATCAACTAATAGGGCCAAAGGATATACATATTCTAACTCTGCACTATAGTTGTACACAGCTTGGCGGATACTTTGTAGTAGTTGAGAACATGCGTCTGGTTCTAAATCTCGCATATTTAATCGTGCTACAGTCATTCCAGACGCAATAAGTCTTTGTATGGTTGCAGGTTCCTTATTGTTAATGCCGATTTCGCAAAGAAGTCCAGTCTGTAACTCTTCACATGGATTTTCATGAATATTAAGACCACAATAATGTTTTAATAAAGATGTTTCAATTGGACGTTCTTTTTCTTTAAAAGGAGGAAGTGCTTCTAATGGTATATGCCATGGTAAAGCCATTGTCTTAAATTGTTGTATAATATATAAACGATCTTTATAAATTATTTTATAATAAAGAAGCTAACCCAAATTGTTATATGAAAACTAAAACTTAATATGAAAATATTGACACAATACTATCGAAAGTGCATAGTTTTACTAGTTCCGAAATCTTTCGAAGAGGTTTTAATAAAACATAAATAGTAAAGTTACCTTAAAAATGATTTATAATCTTGATTTAATTGATAATTATTTTATTATTGATGGGCTCTCATATGCATCAGATGTTTAATATGTATTGTGTAATGGGTTACAAACAAAGAATTATAAATACGTATATTACGTAGATTTTGTTGGTGTAGTTATAAAATAATACTTTTAAAATGAAAAGCTATTCTAGCTCCATTTTAGATCCCTACAATTATGTTAGACGAACTAAAATGCGATACTACTTTTTGTTCTAGGTATCGAACCAAATGTATATTTATAGGCAAAACGCAAACAAAATGTTAAGCATAGATAATGTTACTCTTTCTCTGTGAATAGTTGCTGATTGGTTGTTGATCTTAGTCTACATTGTCTATTCATTGATAAAGTCGTTACCATGACAACGCCAAACATAACAAATCGATTTTTACGTTGCGTAGAAAAATAAATAGAAATTCACAATTATTAGATTGTCCGAAGTAACTTTTTTAAATAACTAATTATTTTATATCTTCCATGGCAGAATTGCATATTTTAGGCTATTTAAATCAAACGAATAATTTTAGGGAAACACATTCTCTGTATTGCCGGTATAGTGTTCAAGCCGGTTTGTATTTTAAGTTAAATTTATAAAGCACTTTGGTAGATTTCTCATTTTCTTCGGCATGATTTTCCCAAAATTTTAGGTCCCAACTGGAATTTGATCTCCGGCTTGTCTGAAGGCCAAACTTCGTCAGGAAAACCAAACTGCAATAAATGTGTAGTTTGGAGTCATCCCTTAGATTTACATTACGTTACCAAAGGAATACAAGGTTGGTCATTTAGTTTATTACTTAGTGACTCGGTAAATACTCAAATAGTAAACTGTTACCTCTAGGTTGGCCAAAGTTAATCCTGCAAGTAAATTGTCTAGATTCATTAGGAAGAACTTGGATAGTTGCTTATGGTTGCAGTAGCTTACCTGCAGTTCCAGGTTACCATACCATTCAAGTGCCTTGCTGGTTGCCAGCTGCTACTAAGTTATCAGATAGAATTAGACAGTACTTCCTAGGTGGTTCCCACCAGCTATTACAAAGTGATATTGTTAGTTTAGGAACTGACAGGTAAAATGCACTTTTTAATTTTGTTTTTACTAATAAAACATGAAATAATAATATCACATTTTACAGGTTCAAGTTAAATACTCTCTCTCAAGGGATTGTAGAATTAAATGTTTGCATTATTTTAAGAAATTTTAGTCAATTCGGAGTAGAGTACAAATAATGCATCTTATTACATATTTAATATTTACATTGGTCTCGATTTTAATTCAGTTTTGCGTCATGGATTTCATTCAGGAGCATAATGAAATTAATAGCACTTATGTTAATAGACGCTTGACACGTGATTCACGAGATTTAATTAACAAATTCGTTGAAAAGCCACACGCTTTATTTTATCGAAATGAACGACGTGGGCTCACTAAAACTATGCCCGTTTTGTACAATAATTTGACATTAGACATTACAACCGAGCCATCGAGCACAATACTTGATTGGGTGTATGATGATAATCTAACAACAACTGAAGACATGCTTTTTGGGACAGAAATGTTTGTGACTTCAGAGTTTGAAAATGTTACCGATATAACACTATTTGATAAGAAAAGTACCACAGAGAAACCTAAATTGATTCCAAAGAAGTCTACTAAGGATCTTAAATGTGATTGTAATATTTTGGTTAGTGTATTTTTATTTATTGTAAACATAATATTTAGCAGTTTGTATATTTTATTTTGCTTACAGTATAAAACATGTGACATTAACTGCTGCTGTGACACCGATTGTTCTGATGCTGAGAAGAGTTTATTCATACATAACTGTAGAAACCAAGTCTGTCAGGGGCCTGACAATAAAATCCTACGCTCATGCTATTCTCATAGTGAATGTGAAAATAAAATAACTCCACATTTTTTAGAAAATTTATTTTGTATTTCTAAATCTAACTTACCTGATAGACGCTTAACAGACATACAGGTAATGCATTAAAAACAAATACATGACACTATAATAAATTCATGTGATTGATATAGACTATTTCTGTTACAGTTTGATGAGGCAGCAATTTATAGACATCCCAGATGGCATATAGGTGAAAGGCAACAAGCACTGTACGAGTTTAAGAATAATGTTTATAAGTACAATGATCCAATATGGCTAATTAACAATAAATCCATTTACTATGCCGGTTTGTGCTTGATATTGATAATTATTACATTTTTAAAATGACGACTCATTAGGTATAATCAAAATTGAATCCTTTTTAGACATACCAGTGCCTATAAGCAATCATTACTGCAGCGGAAGAAAACCTATAAAGTTCCTCGTCAATGAGAATATTAATTGTATTGTAAGATTAAATGATCTTCACATGTTTCAAGTTTTAAAAACCATTGAAGGAAATGTATTGAGCCCTGTGGGAACATTCAATACAACTATAAAGCAGGTTTGACGTAAATTTGTTGAAAGCCTAGTTCGGTCTATTGTATCAGACAGTATTGTACTACTCTTGTTAGATTCTTAATAACCAATATCATCAGCTTAATACCAACATCCACAACATCATATATGTACGGAATATTTAACTGTGAGGTTCTATAAAATATCAATACATGTCTAAATAAAGTATATGCCAAGGTATTGGAGCAATAATTTTTGAGACAATACAGAATCTTAGAATCTAAAACAAAAGGCAAAATTTTCTTTTGCAATATTAATAACATTTGCTATTTACATAATATTGAGAATTTAAAAGTGATTTTTGTGATTTTGTCAATATTAATCAATTAAATAGAAATTGCGTAAGAGCTGTAGTCAGTGCACATTTACGAATTAAGAACTTATTTTGCTTCGGTTTAAATACAACAATCGTACTTGTTAAAATTTTTCATATAAAGTATTTGTTACAGAATGCAAGTGTATTTTATCATACAAATTGGACAGTACTCTCGTGCAACGAACACGATTGTTTCCCACATAACAAAAGTCGAGATGATCCGATTTGCACAGACATGTTCTGCAACAATATTGCGTCTTCTGTACATTATAATTTTTATTATTCGAATTCAAAAATTATTAAAGCAGTAATAAAATTAAAAATGGAACAGGTACCAATGCGTATTCCATTTATACCGCAAACTATAAAGGTGAAATTCTATTTAAGTAACGAATCGGCAGACAGGATTATTAAACTGAGTGGCAATCCAGGATACAATTGGAATCTACCCATTATAGTTTCGAGTGCTGAGGGTAATCACACATTCCACTTTTTCAATAGATCTGAGGGAATACAGAAGATTTTGAAGTACCCAGACAATAAGAAAGGGCGTTGTGTGTTGTCAAATATTACTTATAAAGTTGTTCAATTCGGTGAAAATAAAAGAAACACGTGCCGATTTGAACTGAAGCAAAAGATCGATCTCAATAATGGCACCAGGACATGCGAATTTATACAAAATCTAATTATATCATTGTTTGGACTCAACTCAACCCTCTTTGTGTCTCCGTATGGTAATCCCCAGCACCTGAACGATAAAGACTGGATACCGATAAAAATATTCGACAAAACTCATATATATGGTGTATTTAAGAAGAAGAGTTCGCAACTTATATGTTATAATTTAATAACGCGTATCGCTTACACCGTTTCTTATGCAGTTAATAGTGTCAACGCCAAAGCTGAGAACAAAATATTACACATAAACATTGAGGGCACTGCACAAAACGTAACTTTCGATCTAGAGGACGCGACGACTCCGTTGACGATCGACACGAACTTCATAGACACGAGCAGACGCCTATTCCAGTACGCTGGGCCGCCGCACCTGAACTTGTACTTGCCGAAAAGCTTTTTTCTGCCTTCCAACGGGAACCGTATTCGGAACGAAATGTGCCTGACACTTATCTTATTACTATTAAACCCCTTAATCGAATCGTAATTAATAAAATAAACGTGTTGTATTAACTAATAATTTTTATTTAGCAATAATTTAAATACTCTCGTTCCTTCTATCACTTTAACGTGGCTTCCACCCATCGAGAGGTTAACGATCTCGTAACTGTTGGCCTGAAAGCAAAGCCATTACAGTTTTAAACACTCGCGTGTACTTCAAGGTCTTGAGAATGAAACATGAGTTTTGTAGAAACGATTTAATTAAGGCTACACGAGGGAACGTAATAGCGCCGAATAGGTTGGGCTTTTATATACAATATTTTTACACTAATGACATGTTATCTATAGCATTCCGACTCAAAATTCTTGGTTTGCAACTAACGTTACTTATGATATCCTGACCATAATTATATTAAAATAACAATAGTTTATGCTCCTACGTAGATTTTTTGTATGGACATATAGTGGTGGACCGTATATTTGTCAGACTGGGGGGAGGGGGAGGGGCAGAGTTGTGTAGTATTGAGCGAGCGGGACGCACCTATGCGACGTATGTGTAGACCTTGCGGTCGTCGGGCGTACGCGCCAGGTACTCGCGCTCGATGAGCCCTTCGATGCGTTTCTTGATGACGACTGGTGAAGGCAGGAAACGCGCACGCAGTTGCTCCGTCACTTCTGCCACTAGCAACGTGTGCTGGAACACACATCACATCAAATTAATAATTAATTTGTCATGTATCCAGACACGACAAGAGTTCTATTTTAGATTTAAAAATTCGATGATGCAGCAGGACGAATAGTTGTGTATGCTGGTTCGAGTCCCGCTTATGGTTTATTTTTATATCCCAATATTTTAAATTTGTATAAATGCCATCATGTGCATTGATATTGAAGTTTTCAAACGTCTAACTCTGTTATTTTCGTTGGGATGGTTTTTTTAAGCATTAAACCTTAATTCTTAATTGTAAAGGTTAAGATTACATTTTTAATTTTGAAAACTCAACTGGTTAGAGCACAACTTGCTGTGGATGCCGGTTCCAGTCTACTATATTAATTGATTTGAATACTCACCGCCATCTTCTTTCTGGCCTTCATAATGCGCACGATTGCTGCCTCAATTTCATGCTTACGGTCCTCGTCCACTTTGTTTCGGGTCTCGCGACGTTCCGGCTCGGATTCACCCTTCGCTGCTACGGTCTGGATTTTTACCCTGAATAAATAAAGATATCAAAAGTATATTATTTGTTTTAGAGCTAAAACATAGACAGCTTAAATAAAAACATATTGAATGCTTGAAATAAATCGCACGTAACAGTAAAACCGCCAGTTAGACTTCATACTTTTTTTATGTGGCAAAGAGTTAAATGAAACCAATTTTAAATGAACCTGTGCAGTTTCGACGTAAAGGCATCATTGACGTAAAACTGATGAGAGGGTTCGATCTCCTTGGTCTTCGGGTGTTTGATGAGCACCCGCTGAGTAGGTTTGCCCATGGCAAGCGACTGCAGCGCGCGTACGAGATCTTTCTCCGGGATGTCAGTCTCGTTTAGGATTTCCTGAAATTTAACAAAATCTTTAGCAAAATATAGCCAGGAAACACTTACATAAGTGATTATTACAGAATTACTTTTTTGTTAAGGAATATTACATACAAATTGAAATAAAAATTTGTAGAGATAATCTATATAAATCTTTTGGCGTTGAAAAATCAAGGTGCGTTAAAATTAAATCGTTTACGTACGAATCTGCTGCTAAGAGGTGTAACTAGTAGACAAAATGGAAACTTTTGTATGTATAATTTTTTGAAGGTATCATCAGAGTAAAAGTAGATACTGGAATAGGAGAAAATAGCTTTCTGCTGACTGTATACTGACCTCATATGTGAGCCGTTCCCGTTTATTGAAGAGTAGTAACACGCACATCTGGAAAGTGGAGACTTGTATAATGTGTCGGCGCGGGGGCGTGTGCGCAGACTGCGATCCGAGGGGGGGCGATCGTGGCGGGGAGGACCCAGCGGGCGCCACGCCTCTGAATGTCGCGTGAAGATCTGCACTGCCCAGCTGAGGTTGTAAAGATAGCTGCCGTCCGGAATGCTTTGCCAAGTAGAAGCTGCAAATTGGGTGTATGGCTAAATTCCTTGTATGTAGATCACAAGCATATTCGGCTCCTTTTACTTATGATTCAAAATTTAGACCACATTTTATCGATGATTATGTACTAAAAGGTTCATTAACCTCAATTCTAATACAAGTAAAATTTTAAACAAAGTTTTACAAATACTAACACTGAATGAAAAAAATTTCAATCTTTTCTTAAGAGTGAAAATACCTTCTGAAAACTTCAAACGCCATCCTGGGCGCGGCCGGTATGTTACACTTGGGCGTAGCACTCTGCGTGGGCCAGAAGCCTGTGGTCAGCACGCGCACGGACAAATCCACCCCATGCAAGTTGCTCTAAAGTTAACAAAAAGCATTAGAGAAGGTCCATTGTAATCACAGTACATACAATTCACAAAAGCATTCCAATTCACTGTTTATGTCCTGTTAATTTTTTTTGAAATTTTCCTATAAGAAAAATAGGAAAGAAAGCGTAAGAGTTGTGTGTATCTCATTTTTTTAAATAGAAACGGTTATAAAGGACGAGTAGCTACTTGGAAAAATAACAAAAAAAATTCACCCCGGATGATATGACGTGCTCCTTGAATTCCTCCATTATTGTGTTGGACACTGTCATGTCTTTGAACATTCCTTCCAATTTCGATGTGAACTGACAACCACATTCAGTCTGTAACAACATAATTAAATAAATAAAAAAAGAAGAATAGAAAAATAGATGACACGCGAGTTAAACCCATGACATATATGATGTTATGGGTTTATGGTCTAGCATATGAGTAATAGGTAACATTATAGTTTTAACATTATTAAAACTATAATGTTTTATAATTAATTCTTAATTTTATAATTAACTTAATTCATCGTGTTTACAAATTAATACACATGAGAGTTTGTACTTCTGAATGGTATAGCTATGTAGTTAGTAACATTTTATTATATACCAAACTACTTATGTTAAGGTAATATTATGGTACAGATAATTCTATTTGTACGTAACAAATTTACAAATGACTGTTTACTGGTGTTAGACCGCACGGAACATCTTAGTGACATTAATCAATGTTATTGATATCCTACTTCTGCTCAGACTATAATGTGTCAAGTTCACAACACTACACTAAAATCATGCTTAAAGTCTTGAGCGAAAACTATGCAAAATTCTTTACCATTATCATGTTATTATTACAGTATATCAAATTAGAACAGCTCAACAAATCGAGACTTTAAGCAAGCTTAAACAATTCTATTATAAATTTCGAGTCTTACTGAACTCACAAAAATTATGTAAATGTAAAGAATTTTGCAGCATTTTAGGTTGTATGGGTGGAGAGATAATGGATCACTGAGTGGTTTCAATGTGCGAGACATCGCCAATCATGTAATGGAAATGTTGCGGTTCCATTTCCTTGAGCAAGCCCTCTTTCTGGGAAACCAAATAGGGGTTGCTTATATGTGTTACATCTATTATTTTCCTATCATTAAGTCGTTCTAGAACATAATTATTAAAATTGTGGAACATACCTTTAGCTTAGAGATCATATTTTTTTCGCTGTCATCAGAGACGGATTTATTGAGAAGCAGTCGTTTCGCGAGGTGTTGCTTGTAGTAACGTTCGAATACATCTTTCTCTTGCAGGAAGCGGAAGAGCACCATTGTTTTGTCTAACACAGCTTCTATTTCTTGCTCGCTCATCTGGACATAATAATAAATCAATACAATTATTTCAGTACGTAACACATTCAGTACGTTTAGTTTTATGTCTAATGGAAATTACTTACGCCCTTTTCTCCCTTCTTGAGCTTGCCATCGATAAACAGGGAAAGGAACTCTGGCGACTTGTTGTTGAGATTAAGGAAGTATTCAAAGTCCGAGGCAATCATGTGCTTGAAAATCTTGTCATTGTTGAATGAGTTGTGGAGGAAGTGATCAAATCTATCTTTCAGATCGAGTAGGTTCTGAAAAAAAGAGAAAAAGGGACTTTAAATTCTTAGCAGAATGAAAATAAATAAATAGGTTTCTTTACGATGTAGGTGAACGATTGCTGGTACTTGCATACTTGGTAGAAAAAGATGAAAGCAGTTAAGTTGATAATTGATTTCCCATATAAAAGACTAGATATTGTAAAGTACGTATTAAGTTATATGAAGACAAATATCTATATCGACGTGACATCTTATAATTCGATGGAGCTGCCTGCACGCACAAAAAAAAATGACGCATGTTATTGACGATATGATAATAAAAATTGACGTTATCTCCCTCTAAGGCTTTTCATTTAAGGCTTGCAGTGCAAGCGAGACCGCGGACCGAGCGACAAAAAGACACAATCAGCCTCCGCGTTCGGCAGCGTTCGACATCAGTCTCTCAAACAAATTGTTTTAATTGTATAAGCGTACGTAATACTTAGTCTAAGTTAATCGACTCAATCGTGATTTTCATTTACCTCCTTCTCTACATCCATAATATAATTAATTTTATTTATAAAATATAACCATTATCAGTATTTTTTATGACGTTGAACTTCATAACTACTTTGCAGCCAACTGATATTTTTAACTTACTTTTGTATGTCCATAAATTCAAACCTGCACATAGGCGATGGCGTTGGTGTTGTGGTGTGTGTCTGTGACGAGAGCGCGTCCCTGTTCTCGCAAATGTGCTGACACAGCGTCTGCGACGGTTCGAAGGCCCTCTTGCACGCGCGAAAGCAACTTGTATACGCAGGCCAGCTCTACAGTGCGAGTGTGCATCAACATATGCACCACGCCAGAGTTTTCCATCTGAGTACAATAATTAACCCTGATCAGTCACACTTTATCTCAGGTAATGAGAGGCGATATAAATATTAATGAGTTTTTCTGTAACGAAACATGTTTGTAGATTCATCACGTCTTTACGTATAACCCTCAAGTAACATTATTTAAAATTTATTTAGTTTTTATGTTTTATAAGTCATATTAGAAAATATTTCGATTGTAGAGAATTTGGTATAATCTTATCTCAGACTGTAATAAGTTACTAGGAATCCATGTTTTATTAAAGAAAAGGCAGCTCGTATTAACCTATTGAAACTTAATTTCATACGGCAGTTTTAAAATTCATTAGGGTTTGCTTTATAGCGGATATACTATAAGAAAATTGTTTAATGCCACAAAATGATATAAACTCAAAAATTTAAATGATTACAATTAAATGTGATTTTTGTGGCATAAACTGAAACAATCTAAGCTGAAAATAGCAGATAATTGTTTAAAAAACGGCGAATAGAGGGTAGTTTAACGGATCAATGTTTAATCCTAAATTTGAAATTATATTTCTATCGAAAGTGTAAAAGAATTGTAAACCTCTACGATGGTCTTCATATGTCGTTCGATGAGCTCATGTTCCAGAACAGATACGACCCGGGGTTCGGTGCTTTCTTCGAGGTAGTGCCGGGCCCTCTCTGCCTCTTCGCTTATTCGGGCCTCCACTCGCGCTATGTACACAGCCGCACTGTTCTCCGCTAAGAACTTTTGAGATTCCATCTGCAATTAAAATAATAATGTAGTCAAATGTTCGTTCCGCGTATGTAAATATATTTACATGTCCTAGTGTCCTACAAAGTACACTTAACGCAAACTGTCCTACAAAATACACTTAACTCTAATTTTACGATATAATTTGTCCAGACCAAAATAAACTAATGCTGGACCATCCATTTTTTTTGTTGATTTTTTATAATTTTACTGTATAATGATAATAAAGTCCATATTAACTTTAAACAATACTATCAACAAATAAGTCCAATTTTCCTTAATGTAATTTAGGTTTTGTGATAAAAATATTCCCTGGTCTGAGTCATACAGATGAGATCATAAACTATTGGGTTATGTTACGAAATTTTTTAATACACTGTCTCAACCAATATTTCGTGATAATTATCATTAACCCACAACAAGAAAAGCATAAAGACATTACTCGATAAAACTCTGCCGACTGATGTAAGAAGGGTTTCTCAAAGTCCTCCTCATAAACTGCTCTGGAGTTGATCCCGAGTACCATCAGCATTTGACAAGCGTTGCGTATAGCAAGCCTGTCCACGACTTCCCCTCTTCTCTCGCGTGCTACTAGCTCCAAGAGAGTTTGTCGCAAGTGGTCTCTGATACAACCATAGCGAACGACCTAATCAAGGATATTCATATTAGAACTGTTGGCATTTCATCGCATACATACAGTAATAATATGATTTGTCAGGGCAAAGAGTAATATTTAGATTTATTACATTAGCAATACAAAGTATACATACCTGATCCCTAAATATAATAAGACCTAAATTATACACATTATCAACGTCATTTTGTTGTACATAGACTCTGTCCATATACATCAGTATATCTCTGATCATCACCATACTCGTTTGATGATCTGTCCATGCATTGTTAAGTGTTTGCAAAAATCCATTATGTAATGAGTGAAGGACGTCTTCACGGACCTGGAAACAGTCCAAATAGAAAATCCCATGCATAACACATAATGATTTTAAGAAATGGTAATGTGGTACCTTATTCTCGAGGTGATGTGTTACTACTTCCTTAAGCCCTGTGTACAATCGCTCCCCATGTTTGTGGAGCACCATTGTATAAGCATTTCTGTATAATTCTTCAAATGAGAGTCCTGAATTATTTTTTTTCTGAATTTCTTGTATTGCATTTTTTAATAAACTCCATATACTCTCCACATACTTTTCATCCATAGTCATCTACAACAAGAGATTTTTCTATTAAACTACTCTAAAAACACACATAGTCCACTCACAAGATATATATATATGTTTATAACAAATAAGTGACTTGAATGTTAAAATGTTATGTAAAAAAAAACAGAAGCTCAATAGATTAAGCAGTAGCATAGAATGCTGTAGATGCCAGTTCAAGTACCACCGATGTATTCTTTTCCAACCCTAATGCATGTTATATATATATAATTAGATAAAATTTTAAGTATAGAAACAATCATAATAACAAATTGATGTGCACAAAGCAATATAATATTACTAACCCAAGTGTCAGGGTACATCTGATAATATGGTTCGGAATAGTTCCATACTTGAAATTTTCTAGTCATCTTGATTGGTAAAATTATTTTTGTCATCACAAAACAAGACTATTATATCAAAGTAAATATATATACATAGTAAACGATTTTATAAAATCTCTAATATTGACTGATTTTTGTCTAATGTCAACAAAATTTATGACATGTTTGTTACAAAAATTTTGTCCCTGTTTCAGTTAAATGTACCTTCCATTTTTAAAACTTTGATTGACAATTATAATTTACAGATCACACAAACATCATCTATAAACAGATTAAGCATAATGATATATAATAAAATAAAAGATAATATAAAAGTACTAAATAATATATTTATATACTACTTCCATAGATCAATTAATTAAACATTTTAGAAGAGTACTTTTCAATTAGAATATCTGCACAGCAACTGTGCTAGTTAGAAGGTGCACTTTGTTACTATGCTAAGCATTTTTTAAGTATAATCCTAGATTGTTATTAATTATGTGATACATTTTTTCCAACAAGTAGTTTTTGGTTCAAGTTATTTTGCTGTTGATTCCCAAAAGTTTACTTACAATAAATCTACCTTTAAACAGAGCTAACAAGAAAGAAACAAAACAAACACAGAGTGTGTATCAATAGTCGACTGTAATTAGTTTTTATATTAATGATCTTGAAAAATACTTACAGGGAAAGCTCTAATCCTCATCTTGCCAGGTTTATCTTTCGGCAACGTACTTTTCATCATTGCGACTGATTATTTGAATTCTTGGACACAGTAAAACTTTAAACCACAATAATTTATTTATCTTCACAAATACTCCTCATTGTTACTCTCGCATTCAAAATATCTGTATAGACAAAACAAATTATTAGTTTTTGTTGCAAGAACATCGAACAAACGTCATTTGATAAGTGCAGGCTAATTTGTTAAAAATGTAACTATAATAAAGACCTATGAAAATGATACATGATTATTAGCACAATTATCTTTATATACAATTTAAAATTAATAATACTAAGGTATATCGTACTTGCAATTATGATTTAGAAAATAAATTGAAAATGAAATAGATGTCAAACGAGCTAGACAAAAACCTGAGATTTTGGCTTCTCTTTCACACTTCTTGTGATATTGTGACGTATTAAATATCATAGCTTTTATAACTAAAATAATTAATGAAAAGAAATACCTCTAAATATATTATCGGGATCTTAAGTTGTTTAGTTGTTAAAATGTATTAATATACGATATCGTTATAGTTTATAATTTTACATTCACTAAATCCTAAATCACAAATACAAACTTTATGTCAAGGTTGACAATTGATCCGTAACATTTTTGACAAGATCTTGAAGCATGGTCTCAGACTAGGTAAAAAATGGAAATATCTATAGAATATCAATAACTATCGAAGTTCACAGAATATAAAGTAAGTTTATATCTATGATCAATACCATTATATCTGGTATAATAAAATTTACGAGATTTTCTTTTGGTTCGTCTATTTTATTAAATGCGATTTGGTTAAGTAAGTTAAACTGTTCGGTATTGAGTTACTTGCTCAATTTGGGCTACACGAGCCAATTCATTGATAATTTTAAAAGTATTTAAATTGACCCAAACTTAAAGATTTTATCAATTTCAAAGTAATCTTTACATATCGACCATAGTTTAAAACAACGTATAGAAATAAAAATACAAGTCGTGTTCATTTATTTGTATATTCTTTACAAAATAAATAAAATATATTTACTGAGTTACAATAGACAGAAAGCGTAAGAGAAATAGCGTCCCACAGGCAAGTACAAAAATTGAGATCATGACACGCAAATTTTTTTCCGATCTTTGGTCGCGTTCACTTATCCTTAATCGTTCTATTAGGCCATTCTGTAAAGAAAATTATTTTGATTAATAAATATTCATTTAGTTGGGAATAATGTTCTCAAAAGTAAGACAAGACATTTATTTATTATAGAAAAGGTTTATAATTATATCCCATATTTAATATCTCTTTCATTAAAAAATATGAAAACAACTACCCAACCGCCATGATTAGCAACCCAGTTTCCCGGTTCCTCATGCAGTAGATCAGCGATGGCAGCTGCAGGGGCTGCTACAAGTTCCAAAGGTGGTTCTCCGTCAGCTGCTTCAGCAGCTTCTCTTGCTAATGCGCCACAGATACAATAAACAGCAGCAATCTGGCAAAATAATAAGAAGAAGAATCTACTGTCTAGTGCCAGCAGTCACCTCTAATTTTTGAACTATGAAATCAGTTTCTGTATTTTTCGTTTCGTAATAAATTTTCATATAATTTATATTAAACAAGTCTTACGTTTATTGTCTTCTTATATCATAAAAAGTATATTATATATATTTACATAATCAGACAGTATCTTAGAAAATAGAATTTTACTTTTGACCAAGTGATGTTTTCCCTTGTTATACGCCTTGCTAATGCTAACGCTAGTTCTGCAAGGGCAGTGTCTGAACGGAGCATTGCAGAAGGCGCTCGCGTCGCTTGTCTTGCAACATGGCGGAAGGCGTCAGGCCGCTTTCTCTCCAAAGCAGAACACAAAGCTCTCAAAGCAGCTAAAACGCCAGACTCCACGTTATTCATGGCTTCCTCTCCGCATTCCGTTTCAAGCATTTGCTGTAGACGCTTCATGACAATTTGCTGAAAATAGATATTGTTTGCTTATTACCATTGTCGTTGTAGACACACCATGTTTCTTAGTTATTTTTCTATGGTAATACCTTTTTGAGACAAGAGGAAGATCGACGTATTTGTGTTTTAATATATTGTAAACATAGGGCGCGACCTTGCCTCACGATTTGAGGTTTAACTTGTGTGGGTATTGCTAGGCACCAGCCTATGGTTGCCGAAAGACGCCTGGAGACTGCAGCAGCCGCTGTACTAGATACCATTGTACTAAAACGCCGCTTGGTACGGTCTATGGGCGATAACGAGCGGGTAGGGGATAAACGTAAACCATCTGAAAGAAATTCAGTGAGAGAGATTAATTATTAACACCTAATAATGTGGCCGTCTGTAATATTTAAATTATATATTAAAATATAACACAATAAAATTAAAAGTACTGTACAATTTATTAATATTTTCTTCATATAGATAATGAAAGTGAGAATACACTCACGACACTAAAATTCAAGAAAAATAATTTTGTATCGATTACGATTCTCAAAATACTAGTATATATTGCGGTCTTACAACGTTAAAGGAGGTTATTTAGTTCGTTTTAATATTGTTAAAATATAGAACTTCAATGTAAATATCAATTGGTTAGAGCAACAGCACGGAACGCTGTGGATACCGGTTCAAGTCCTGTTCGTGTCGTAATTTTTTTCAATTAACTATCTATTTTTAAGTTATGAAAATCAAAAAATAATATTATGAGACACTTAGCAGTCTCATAATATTATTTTACATTGGCTTGGGTAAAAACTATGTACCGTTTTTTTTTAATATAGTGATGTTATAAGAGTACATTTAAGTAGAACCTGAAACTTTAAGACGATCAGCTCCAGGTAGAACTGTCAGCGGTGTACTGAGCTTACGGCGAGGTCTCAAAGGTGGAACAAACTCGTCGTCTTCTTCGCCATCGGGTGGAGTGACGTGTATTGCAATGTTGTCGTCCTTTTGAGTTTTCCTGCCATCTAATTGCCATTTCAAATCTGTTATTGGCCCTATCTGAAAAAAAAACGGTGGTGATAATGAGACAAACTTACATTAGACAATTGCAAGATAATTCTTTTTTATTATAAAAATTGCTTGCTTCGCGAACTACAGTAACTTAACTGTATCTATTATAAATCGCTTTTAGATTGAATACCTATAGCAACAGCACGGAACGCTGTGCATGCCGGTACAAGACTGCGCGTGTCGAAGACCTTAGGTATATTAATCTTTGAGAACCGTAAATCAACAATGGAAGGAGCCACTGACGGATTGGTCACTTTACCACTTATGGTGTAGTAATATCTATATATTTTAATGATAGAGTTATTATAGAACTGGGCTCAGTAGTAGTGGCATCATTCCATAAACACAGGTACTTTACTATAGAAATGCATTTTCTAATGTAGCTACCTATTTCCGCTGTCATAGCTATAAAGTAACATAGACGACCCGACGTTTAATATTGAGGTACCAGTACGGCCTTGTCGAGAGGATCGGTATTTTCCTTCTCCAATATTACTTACTAGTGCCATTGAACAGTTTAAGTTATTGCCTAGTTCAGTATCCTTTGTAAACATCTTTAGTTTCTATCCTCTAACTCTTTTGAACTTTGAAGTGGAATATTATGTGGTCGGGTTGTATAACTGTAAAGAATATTTAAGAGCGTTTTAAGAATAAGGGTCAGAGTTCATTATTTTATTATCAACTGAGTCATATATGATGGGTAATTTGCATTATGAGGTACAATGTACTTATTCTAGCTTTATATATATCCTAGACATAGCAAGTCAAGTAAGTTATAATTATGGGTCTATAGTATTTACTTTAAGATAAAAAAGGGTCTCACCCTTTTAGCTTAAAGTAGAGATAATAATTGTACATATTGAAAAACATGATTATTTTAAAACATGGTGAGTAGGGATCTGACCTGTGTGCCCGACTGAAAACAATTTTGTTTGGCCTGTATCCGAACCCTATCCGAGGCTATCTCGTGATTAACGCAATGTTCGGTAGACATTTAACCGCGGAGTCGGCCTTACAATATTGACCGATGCTAAGGTACAACAACTTCTAAGTGTTTGTATCCTTTACGTGAGGTGAATATGTCTACTTCTTTGTATACCCATGTCACTACAATATCTTATTTTGTCTCATACTTGGAGATATACAAAAGGGACAGATTTTGGAATTGAATAATAAATAATAACATTTGTATTCGCACTCCCATTGAGCTCTCCCTTAGCTTGAGTATTTTTTATCTAATGTTATGAATGTGATATAGTCTTGTTCCTTTCCCATTCTTGCAAAAATATTCACTAGATTCTTTATCAAAACTTTTATATAGCCCAAAGATTGAGCGATGTTAACAAGTTAATTTTCATTGCTAGTGAATTGAACATTTGTGGAACCTCTTTAACATTACAAAGAAATATACAAGCAATAGTAATTAATCTTATATACTCATATGCAATAATAATAAATCCGTACATTATGGAAAACATATGTCATTTCCGAGCGTAACAGGAATCCTTCTAAATTGTACGTTATTACTCAAGTCACGCATTCCTTTTGTAAAATCAAATTGTTTCTGTTAGAACATACTTATTTATTCAAATATATAACAACGTGTAACTACTTAATATAAAAATTCGAACCGTAACGTTTCCTTGCAATTTTACCAACATGTTTGGACAAAAACCTTTTTTCTCAAAATTTATTGGAACCCGTTTGGAAAATCTACGCACTAAATAGTTAGTAGAGATATCGAAATTACGTTCGGCTTACGAGCCTCCGTGCACAAATGAAAAGTTATGACGTACAAATCCACACTTTAGTTTGCCATATCTGCGAACTTTAGATTTTGCAAAGCAAAAACAACAGCGCATCACAGGTAAGGACCCCGATTAAACAAATGAAATATTAAATAATTTTAGAGATCCAACGATTAGTTAGATCGAGAAGGCGTCAAAATACAAATTCGAAATTCAATTCAAAACTATTAGTGTTATCCAGGAATTATTGGGTATTAGACGGTGGGTTATAGGTAATTATTCATTGCCATTAGTGATGCTACAAGATCGTGGCGTGTAATTTAATGTAGATCGTACATAGGGGTCACGACTGTAGCTATGTCGGCAATGTTAATTCAGCGTTTCAATGCTACTGATAAGTTTCGCGCACACAGAATACTAAATCAATTCTTACGAGGAAATTTAAAATGAAAAGAGAATGCCTGAATATCAATTAGGGATTGTATGTAGGTCGTTGGATGTTTAAAGTTTTGAACACATACACATACACGCTAGTTGTTCTTCACACCGACTCTAAATTACGTTTGTAATTAAAGTTCTTCGGTAGTAATTAGTTTCATTATCAAATTTAATTCGTTCGCATATAACAAAAGCTGTTATTTAGATAGGTAAATAGTTAAATACAGACGTACAACCTGACGTAATGATATTTCCAGATTTAATACATTCAAAATATAACACTTTTAACGGTTTAAAACGCAAAATTTAAAAATCGAAAATAAATTGAAAACATTTTCGACTCGGGCAGAACTTGAACCGGCATCGTCAGCGTTCCGTGCTGTTGCTGTAACGTTGATTTTTTTTAAATTTATTTTTGATTTTTAAATTATATTGTGCCTTCATGTGCAATAACATTTGGAAAATATTAAAGTTATCACACGAAAAATTTATCCGAACTGTCGGGCCATAGTTATCATACACTAATGTATAAGTTAACTATGGCCCGACGGTTCGGATGCTTTGCAGCTTCTTTAAATGTGTACTACACACGTAAGCTACAGACGATACTTATTTTAATACAGTAAAATCGAGTTACTTTTACTTAATGGAAACGTAATTATAATTGTAAAAAGGCGTGATTTTTCTCTGTCAAAATAAAAATAGAAATTAACTTTGTACAAATTAAACGATTGTGTTAACTAATGTTATGGCTGAAGTACCGTAAAAGTAATTAAGCACGGTTTTTCATATACGAAAGCATATTCATTATTTAACGTACGTAACTGACGGTAACAGTGGGCTTAAAAAAAACTCGCCCAAATGATAATAAGTACTTAGGTATATTATCTTAACTTTGTTTAGATAGATAACACGGATTTTCAAATGGGTTGTTATTACAAGGTAGATACATTTTGTGATTCATAGTGGTTGATAAAAAAAACCGCTTTGAAACGGGTAATTAGTTTCAGAAGTAGTAATGTCGGAGTTGCTTATTTTGGAGGCCAATGGTTTTACTTAAAACGCTTCGTTTGTAGCCTAATGACCATGCTGTTTTTTTCGCAATATTATCTATCTATTGTTATCAGCGATAACGAAGGACCGATATCGAATAAATCGTTCAAGCTAATAGACGATGGAAATAAGGATGATAATGCATATATGTGTAACTTTTGTTTCAGTTCTAACTATTAACAATGGCTTTGACAGTTTGCCACTTTTGTCGCTTAAATAATTAATTGAATTACTATATTAAATACTGTCTATAGTTTAATAGCAACATAAATAAAACACTGTTTAAAACGCGAAATTGTTAACTTTTTGGAAATGATTTTTAACTTCCGATTTGGATTTTGAAGGTAGTAGGGGGAACCCCTCCGTACCACGGTTAGTGAACCTGTTTTTATTTAAAAACTATATTAAAGTAAGAATCTTTAAGAAATATGCATTTGAATATTATAGCTAACATAGCACATAGATCTAAAATATTTTCTTAATAAAATGTTTAACACAACATGTAAAACATGAAAAAAACAAAAAATACCGAATAAAACAGCGGTGATTCAGAAAAACAAATAACAAGTAACGTCTTTTATATTTTATAAACCCACTTACAAATATTACTTTTTAAACATAACACTCGGGGCCTTCAGCAATTCTCAGATCATATACTACCTAGGAATGGAATAAGTATGTTAGTACTATAATAATTTAACGCAAAGTTGGACTTTAATTTTATTTCCCATTTAATAGTCTATATTTCTTGTGGACCTGCGTATAAAAGTTTATTCCTGTGTAATGCCGTTACCCCTGCCCAGGAGAAACATTTCGTAGAGATAGCGCTAAACTATAAAATGAATGCTGACATTGAGAACATTTTTAGCGAATATAGTGTAAGCTTAGAGAATCTGCACTCAAACAGTGGAGGTCCTTCGATTTAGTCAAGGGCCCTACCCTTTTTAAAACTATTTATGCCGATATTAGATATCGCTTTTTAGTGACCGCATGAATTGATCTATAAGACATCTAACCTTACAAAAATTTGTTTAAAATTATTTTAAGATCAAACAATAAGCGAACGTCACACCCGAAGGTACATTTTAAAATGTCTTATTATAACGCCAAAGTTCACGTTTGTTCTATGCAAGCAAAGCAAAATAAATAATATTAGTTTAATATGCTTATTTATTTTTGAAGTGATTGATTTAACTATTCCAGTTGTTACTGTTATTCATATTGACACGAGTACACGACGAGTAAAATTGAGAAATAAACGTGTGTGAGTAATAAGATACAATGTTTCACTGCAAAGAGGTAATTAAGGTATTCATAATAAATATCTCCATGGTATAGTGTATTTTTATATGCTCTTTTGAGTACATTTTTATAGTTACTTTCGCAATCAAATTACTTTTCTTATCCCTTACTACCTTTTATTCGTACAGCAAAAGGTTTTACAATACATGTCATCGAAAAAGTAAGTGTCCTTTGCCGCAACACTTCGACTCACCTCACTCTCACTCCTACTCCTACACTCACTCCCACTCTCACTTCCACTCTCACTCCCATTCCCAAAAGCTAGGGAAGAAAGTTACATTGTGAAAGCTTCAAAAATCACGAATTCCCACACAAACTTTCATCCCCCCTTTCCACTCTTAACAACCCTTTTTTGGCATTAAAAAGTAGCCTACGTCCTTTCTCAGCTCTAGAATATCTGTTTACCAAATTTCATTTAAATCGGTTCAGTAATTTCGGTGTGAATGCCAGACAGAGAGTGTTACTTTCGCATTTATAATATTAGTAGTGACTACCACGGATAGTGAGATATACCTAGTTCGGGCACAGGACGAACAGCGGATTATTTTTTATAGGTTGTAACATAATTCAATCCCACATCTGATTAGTAAATTGTAGCAAATTCTAATCTGCTTTAGTCTGGCGAGGCAAACGGTGTCAAATCAAGGGCGTAAAACGAACGAGAAGGACTATCAAGAAGCTCGCCGCCACTCCTTTTACCGCCAAGTTTTATTATTTAGTCTTCACGTATTTTAAGTGCACTACATATTTTTCATTATAGAGCGGGTTATACCAAACCGTTTAAATATTGATTAATGTCATAATAACCCCTTTCCAAGCAGTTTTTATTTTACATACGATTTCAACTTGTACCTTTAACTAAATACTATTAATATTATATATTAATACTAATAATTAATAAATTACAGGTAATTTATTATATGCAGTAAAGAAAGGAATGCTGTCAACTAAACTCGTTAGCACTAAGTTCGATAGTTCTCTAAATTATACCATCCATTAGAGTCGACCCCGTT